ACAGTTTCCTCCCAACCCAACCCCAACAGGCCTGTCCCTATGCCTCTGGGTGTAACATGAAAAGTAAATGTCTCAGAGACTGATATTGGGGTTCAGACTTCAAGCAGAAGATCAGAGAAGCAAAGCAGCCAGGTGCTAGCTCTTACTCTACCTCAGGCTGAAAGGTGATCCTGGCTCCACCAAACCTCAGACTGCTGTCTCTTATCAGAGTGGCTGGAGAATCCTAAGACTTCAGTGTCTTCCTAACCCCAATGTAGCTGGAGAATAAATCCCTGATACTGACTACTGAAGACCCTGCTCCTATCTTCTATACCCCTCTAGTGCTGGGATTAAAGGCGTGTGATCCCAGGTGCTGAGATCACCTTTGTGTGAGCTGTTTCTCTTTAGGACTGGATCAATCTTGTGTAGATCCGGGTGGCCTTGGATTCACAGAGATCCATCTACTTCTTAACCCTGGGTCCTAGGATTAAAGGTGTGTACCACTACCTCCCAGTTTCTGGCTGCTGGGATTAAAGGTGTGCATCACCACTGCCTGATCTCTATAGCTTGAGGCTGACTTTGCTTTCTGGATCCTCAGGTAAGCTTTAGTAAATCATACATAAGATGTCACCACATCTGGGTCCCATGATAATATTTACTCTATTCCTATGAACATAAGCTAAGAAACAGAGTCAGCCCCTTTGTTTCCTGACCATTTCTGGATGCTTCTTCGTGGCTAAGTGCTAGAGGTCATGGGGCAAATGAGATGTGAGATAGCACTGCAAACTGTGTTCACATTTTTTGTGGATACATCATGCACTTTGGCAATGCCTGGAGTTTTCAATGAATGAGTGTTTTTGAAGTAAGGACAAACCTAGGAGACGGAATGTCACAATGGTGTCATGGGCAACCCCGCCTCCAGCATGATCTGGACTTGAATTTCCTTGCTGTGCCTTGGAATGTGGTTTTCACACTTCCTGAGTGCACAGGGACAAAGTGTACGGTAAGTGGACACCCATGGCACAGACCGCTCAGAGCAGATTTCAGGTGTTGGGACTTAGTCCCCAGTGTGTTATTATGAGGTACTGGGACCTTTATGAGGTGAGCCTGCTTGGGTGGGGGGTTGGGGCTGCTGGGGCACAAAGTCCCCATTCTAGACACAGGGCACATTGAAAAAAAAATGAAGTTGTTCTGGAAGGACATGGAAACTGCACAGAGGAGAGCTATAAAGAGAGGGCAATGTTGGATAAGGGCTTTGAGGGGAGTGGCCTAACCATTAAGACAAGGGGTGAGGAGACATTCTGGGTGGAGGGGGCATCGTCTGGGAAAGTGGTGTGGGGTGGGGAATGTGGCTGGAGCACATGTCACACCTGGTTCCTCACACTTGCCAAAATCCATCTCCCTAAGCCAAATCTGTGTGCTGACAGATGGACAATTGACAGGTGGTCTGGAAAATGTCATTAGTGAGGGTGCACGCAGAGCATCGCCAGCAGTGATAGTGTTACCAAGTAAGAAACTGCACGGAGTGTGGAAGGCAGGGCCGGGCTTCAGTAGCCATCAAAGCTGCCATGGAGCCTGTCCTGGGGTCAGATGAGAGTATAGACTTCTAGAAGTTGTCTAGACTCCGAAGCCCATCCCAGGCTTGTGAGGAGCTGTGCTGCCTGCCTGGAACTGGGCTTCTCGGAGTTGCAAAAATGCATACAGTACTCCAAAGGATGAGTTCCCTTAGCCAGCCAGAGGGCTAACAATACAACCATAAAAAGTATCCCTCACCTTGCTTGTCCAGCAGGGGCAACTGAACTTAGCAGTGCCAAGGGTGCCGGATTAGAAGCCAAAGCTCTAATAACAGCCACGGCCGTAACTATGTAGTGATGGCGCCTCTGAGTCTCAGAATACCACTATGCAGGTTTTTAATCACAACGTCTACCTTACAGATGGGGAAACTGAGGCACAGAGGGTAGCCCACTTGCCCAACATCCTAAAAGAGGGACATGATTCAAACCGTGCTATGGTTTGTCCCCAAAGGTTAGATGTGGTTTGTCCCCAAAGGTCACACGGTGAATGTGTGAGCCCACTGAACAAAAAAAGAGAAAGCAGCAGAGCTGCAACGTGGGTCTCTCTGCTTTCTGACTGCAGACGCAATGTGACCAGCTGCATCTCTCTCCTGCCACCCCTCCCTTCCCCCACCGACGTGCACTGCACACTCAAACCGGGAGCCATGGCAAACCCTCCCTCCTTAAATTGCTTTTGGTAGGGGCAGCTGGTCACATGGCTCCAACATTCAGGGTGGACCTTCCCATCTCAGGGATTCTCTCGCAGACATGCTCAGCGATCTGTCTTCTAAGTGATTCTAGATCCTGTCGAGTTGACACTCTCCTGGCCTACCTCACCAGGGCTAACTAGGCCTATGCAGACATGTGCCTTTGAACCTCAGAACTGTGAGCATGATGAGCTTTTCTTTATAGAGCCCTCAGCCCCTGGGGGGCTCATTCTAGAATCAAAAAACCAACTCATAAATATGGTGCAGCTGTGACAGGCAGCCTGGAATTCATCCGGTAAAACAGGGGAAGCCACAGAAAACCTTGGCTTGGGATGACAGGTTGAGGAACGGCATCTGAACGCTAGGGTTGGGGGTGGCTAGGGTAGGGTCAGGGATGCTGAGTTATACTTCCAAGACTCACCTGGACAAACCACACACTCTCTCAACAATCCTTTGTGGTCCTGAGAATTAGACTGTGGGTGCTAGAATGGAGCTGAGGTCATTTAAGTGGCTGGTCCCACAATGTGGCATTTCTGACCCTAGCTTCTTCAACATAATCCCTCTCCCTCACCGAGCCCCTGACTTCTCCAGAGCCATCCTCATCTCCTCTTCAATTTCTTTGGGCCCCCAAACCGCTGTATCCTTGATGTCTGTAGTGAGCTGAATGGTGGCTCCCTAAAGATGTACCTGCATCCTGACCCTGCGGACCTGTGAGCCTGACTTTATACCACTCAATGGCTACCACACACACTGACTTACAGCACTGGCTAGGATTCAGTTAAGGTCTCAACTCAATGATGACATGAGACACACAAGGTAGGGGGAGGGTGATGTTGGGAGCAATGTGAAGACAGGCTGAAGTGATGTGGCCGCAAGCTTGGGCCACCGAAGCCAGAAGAAAAAGTTCTCTCCTGGAGCTCCAGAGCCCACACTTTGACTGTGGACTTCTGGCCCTCAGAGCTGCGAACATCTTTCTGTTCTTTTAGAGCTGCTCATTTGTGGGTCATGTGTTCCAGGAGCCACAGGAAGTGCCTGTGCTGCCTTTCCTATCTGGACTTCCTCCCCTGAGCATGCTCCCTGTTCTGAGTCTGTCTCATCCCTGGTAGGAACTGATGCTTTGTTCCTGGAGGGTGGCGGTGTGTCTTATGTCTTTTGCATTTCCTGTGCCTGCCATGGGGTCCAGAAGACTGTACATGAGGAAAGAGCAACGCCTAGGCCAGCAAGCCACGGCATAACTGCAGCTGTCTCTAGGATAGCCTGGCCCCTGCAGTCTTAGAGGGAGAGGGCGTGACCAGCCTTATTGCTCCTTGGATGGATTCTGACTCCAGAGTAGACTAGTGCAGAGGTCTGAAAACAGCTGGAGTCTGAGCTGGAAATACAGATACTCTGTTGCACAAACCAGGCAGCCTGACTGGTAGACCCCCTGATGCCTGTAGGCTGGTGCCCGGGTGTTTTCTAACTCCATTCTCTGCGGCCAAGAGGGCAAGATGATGTCACACAGGTACCTTGAAGGCCCATCACTCTACCTCCTGGAAAGGTACTCTACAGGGAACGCTGGGCCCTGGCCAGGCTGATCTGGCTTGACTCAAAGGAAGCCTTGAACTTACCAGACGCCTGGGCAGAGAAGCCCTGGCAGCAGACCCCACCCCCACCCCCTTAAAGAAGGGGCCATCCTGGAGAGTTTGGAATCTGGACCCACAGGCTATTTCTGAAGGGTCAGATTTCTATTATTCCTCAGGGTCCCCCGGGGATGTTTAGAGCCCAGGTAATAACTGTGGGGACATGCAAATTCTCAGGGTGCTGCCCCTCCTGCACCCTCAGCCTTACTCCGTTTGTAGCTTCTCTCTTTCCCTTTGTCCTGCAAGCATGTCTGGCTAGAGGTCTGTAAAGTGCAGGGGCCTTCATCCGGGTAGCTGTGACAACTGCCTGGGGCGCTACTCAGGCTAGAAGTCCGTTTTCCCTTCTGGGTATCCGTACTATGCAGGCGAGCTGAGGCTGCTGTGGGGAGATCCTTGCCTTCCCTTACGCCTTGACCCCTAGCCCGCAGACAGCTTTGATTAGCTTGCCTCTCCTGGGGGCACCTAAGCTCTTAACCTAAGCATTAAACCTCCCTCTTTTGATAGAGACACGCCCTCATTTTTCATCCCCCTCCCACCCAGCCTCACACTAAGGACCACTCAGGTCTGTCATCCACATTGTCCTCCGAAAACCTTCGTCATCCTTCAGGATCCTCAAATCTGCTCGGCCGTGGGCCAGAACCCTCTCTCCTTCTCTTTGGGGCTTGCTGGTTTCTCTGCATCTCCCTCTTTCCTCCCTCCCTCCCTCCCGACCGCGCTGCGCTCGGCCACCGCCCCAGGGTCGCGCATCCCGCCGGGGTATCCCCCAGCTCGGCATCGGGAGCCTCAGGTTCTCCTTCCCCGGGTCTAGTCGCGCGCGGGATCCCCCGGGGAACCCCCCCTCCACCACTGCAGCCGCGTGCTCCTTTGTGCGGCCGATCCGCGCGCGGGCGGCGCTGCGTCAAGGCGGAGGCGCATCGGCGCGGCCCCACGCGCACTCCCGCGCGCGGCCCCCGGGAGCGGCAGGAAGGAGGCGGCGCGCGGAGGCGGGAGGCGCAGAACCCAATCGCTGGTCCCCCGGCCGCGGCGCCGCCTCCGCCATTGCTGCACGCGGGAGCGGGCGACGCGGAGCCTCGGAGCGCGCTTGGAGCCCAGACTTGCCGGAGCCGGGCGTGGGGTGAGTGCGGGTGGGGAGCGGGGTGGGCGGGCGAGCATCTCTCACGCTGAAGGCCGCGGGAGCCGCGCAGGAGGCCAGCGCCGCGGGACTGGGGACGCGTCCGGAAAGGCTGGGCATGGGTGGCGTCCCCTAGCCCGGCCGTGATGAGCCCTGCCCTCTGCGGGATGGGAGTTTAGAAATGCTCATCAATACACAGCCTGAAGAACCTGGTCTGGCTGCGATCGCCTCGTCCCTGTCACCTATCTCGGGAGACCAGGCGGGGACAGCGGACGGACGCGGGGACAGCGGGTGGGTGTGCAGAGTCCTCCCGGCTGTGCCCCGCCCCGCCCCGGCGACCGCTCGCCCTGACCCCCACCCGGCCCTCCCTCCGCAGGCCGCAGCCTCGAGTCTTTCGCAACCATGGTGAAGTTGGGGAACAATTTCGCAGAGAAGGGCACCAAACAGCCACTGCTGGAGGATGGCTTCGACACCATTCCCCTGATGACGCCCCTCGATGTCAACCAGCTGCAGTTCCCACCCCCGGATAAGGTATGAGACCCCGACATTCCCGCGCTGCTGGGTGTGCACCCTTAAATCTTCAGCTGCAACCGAGACAAAAGAAACGCCTTGTGCGCTTTGGGGATGAGAGGTGGGGGCGGGCTCAGCCGAGAGGTAGAAGGCAGGGTGAGCACAATGTACCCTCATGATTCTGGGTTTGGTGAGATTGTAGACCCCCTGCCTTAGATGGCACCTTTCTTCTTGGCAATATTCCTTAGTGGAAGGCCCCTCTTGACTTTGGGGAAGTCTTATGAGGAGCGATGCTTTTGGTACAGGAGTCTGGGGGTCAGGGGTGCTTCGGGTGGTGTGGTTTCAGCTCCACTTGCCTTACTGGGTGTGTGCTCAGAATTAGAGCCTTTTTCCTCTTTGTTCCTTTTGTGAAATCCGGAGATCTGAGCTCACCAATGCTAGTGTAAGCAGGACCAATCCTTACCGTGATGCATTTTTTTTCCCCTGAATTAAAGACTCCCCTCTTGAGTACTACATCCAGTGGGGTGTCATTGCTCCATTAGGGTATTTTATAACATTTAAAAGCAAATTCTACCCTTAAAGTAGAAGACAGCGTTGCAATACTCGAATGTAAAACCACACACCCTGCATCTACAGTCGGTAAACACAAAGGAGCTTGCTCAGTATTCCCAAACGCTTTAACGTTTATTGTCTCAGTTCATTCTCCAGTAAGAGGCTCCGAATCTGGGCACTGCATCCACTGGGCAGTTAGAATGGGGTGTAGGAGGGAGCTGTAGTAGGGTCTTCTTCCATTCCCTAACTTAGCTTCCCAAAGTGGTTTTGTCTCCTTAATTCTATTGTCTGGGTTTTTTTGGGGGGGGCGTGGGAGCAGGGAAGGGACTGGCTGCAGGTGTTTTCATTTGAGAAGTCAAGATCAGCTGGTCATAGCTGTGTACCCCACACCCCTGCTGTTGGCCCAGGCTAGCCTTCAGAGTAGGAGTGGAGCTGTTGAGTCTTTGGCCTCCACAGTATGGTGGGGTATCAGGGCTTGGTTCCAGTAACCCTACTCCTCCTGCCTTGATACACCCAGCCGAGGAGCACCAGAGGCCTGTGCCAGGGACCCTGTGTCCCGAAGAGGCACCCCTATCAGGTGATTCCCTGTAACTGGCCCAAGCTGCCTCTGTTGCTCTCAGTGTGTTCCATTCCAGAACTGCATGGTCGGCCACAAGGTGGAGGGCTTCAGGCAGGTCCCACATTCTGCCAGCCAGTCCTGTTGCTTGGGATTAGGCTACCTGGCTGTGTAGGTACTGAGTCTTCTCTTTTGGGGTCACTGATGGGGATGCTCCAGAAAAGAGTATTCCTGTGGGAACAGGCTTCCAAAGTCACAGAGGAGGAGACAGAGTCTCAGAGTTCACCGAATGCACCCAAGGTCATCATGCTGAAGGTCACTGGCCTCCAGGGTATGGAGGTCTCTAGCCTGCTGAGAGTTGGACACGTCTCACGCTTGACAAGAGTCAGGGAGGTTGGGGATGTGACTTCCCAGTGTGGAGAGCTGCCAGTCACATCAGGAGAAGCCATGCCTGACATTTGTTAGGGACACTTGCCGCACCAGGCACTGTTCTGTGCACTTCCTAGGCTGAACTCCAACGTGCCCACGTGGCTGCAAGGCAGCCGCCACCATTGCCCTTGTTTGACAGACATAGCAATGAAGGCCTGGGGAGTTTGAAAGGACCTATCCAAGGTCACCTGTCAATTAGTGGTAGATGGAGATTGAATTCAGGTGGCCTAGATGTCCTCACCCTCACAGTTCTGGAGGATACGGGCCTATGCCCTCCAGGTTATGGACAGGACACGAAGAAGCCTTCTGTATTCAGGTGAAATGGCTCCAAACATGTGCCCAAGGTCACAAGGTTTCTTGGGATGTGAGGATGGCAGGGCAGTGCTCAGTGCTGCCTTGAGATGATGCCTTCAAGGTGTGGACACCCCTGTCTTCTGCATGCTGGGAGTGTGGCTTGACAGTATGCATGGAAATGCAGGGCTCCCTGGCTTAATGCCAGGCACAGGCCACTTTGTCCCCTGTGACCACTCTTGAGGCTGGCTCCACAGGTCATGGCTGGAATGGAGAGTCCTCAGTCACATGCCTGGGGCCTGTCCTGAGTCACTCAGTTCCCTTTGTACCACTGTCAGGGCAGCGGGTGTCTCCCAAACCATGGGATCAATAAAGGACACTTTCCTCCAGGAGAAGTGTAGGGGGTTGGTTCTCTCCTGTCCCGGACGCCTGCTCTGGGGAGTAAGTTTGGGGGTTAGAGGTGAGTAACTCATTGATCCCACTCTCCCTATCCAAGGGAAACAGAGAGGCAATGGATTCCTGGCAGGCAGAGCTGCCGAGGCCAAGAAAGCAATGTCCCTATGGGATGCAGCTTGGGTTCTCAGGTTGGTGTGAAGTTGGCAAGGCTTCAGGGAAGTTTGTACAGGGCAGATGCATGGGTTTCCATGTTCACAGGAGAGAGTGGAGGGGCAAGGAAGGAAGGGAGGAAGGAAGGAAGGGAAGGAGGGAGGGAAGGAAGGAAGGAAGGGAGAGAGACTATTCAGTGCTGTGTAGTCCAAGAGGCTCCCCAGAGCAGTTTATTCCCAGGCCCTAGTTCTTGGGTGCTAGACAATTGTGTTCAGATCTTCTCTGGTGGCAGCACAAAAAAGTCAGTAGGAAAGTCCTAGACCAGGACTCTGCTGTAGTGGGTACTTGATCTGGCAGCCATTAGTCCCGTGGCCTTGGCCGGTGAGCATCGCTTCTCTGTTCCCTGGTTCTGCATTTTTCCCGGGACTGCTATAGGACCATGAATAGGCACTGTATCTGAAAGTGCCTGCATGGAGAGCTCTCAGGAAGCTGCTCTCACTGCCTGGAGGAGTTGGTGGGTATCTTTGAACTCGACAGCCCCAGGCTTACCTGCTCGGGGGCAGATGTGACTGAGCATGCTCAGTTTATCCCTGACCTTGTGCCTCTCTGTTTCCTGGCTAAGGTGGTCGTGAAAACCAAGACTGAATATGAACCAGATCGCAAGAAAGGCAAAGCACGTGCTCCCAAGATAGCTGAGTTCACTGTCAGCATCACCGAGGGTGTCACCGAGAGGTTTAAGGTGAGTGGTTGCAGGCTGAGCCGCCATCTTTAGGTCAGGAGGTGACTGCCCGGCTGCAGAGAGCTCTAGCAGGACAAAAATATGATGTGATTCCCTTATCCAGGCTCTGCAAGCCCAACAGGTTCTAATTCCCAACCTGGAGGGGTTTTCCCCCCTTTTAAAAATGTTTTCTATTTTTCTTTGCTTCGACCTCCAAAATAATCACATATCGCTTATTTTTATAACAGGGAAAACCCAATCCACGGACTTCCCTTTAGGCAAAAGCAATGAATATGAACAAACATTTGCCAGACATCAAAATATTTGCCTAATGGTTTCAGGAAGGAAGCACACAGCCTGAGGCACTTACATCCATCCAGGCAGGGCTCTGAGCCATGACCCTTGACCCCCAGTGCTTATGCAATCTCCTCTGAGGGCTGCCACATGAGCAGGGCACTCTTCTCCTGCATCCTACCTCATGAGGGTAGGGAGGGGACCGCAGGCTCATTGGTCCCGGCTCTCTTGGCGGAGCTGGGACCAGAGTCTGCCTGGCTGCAAAGCCTGTGTGTTCAACCTCCAATCCTTTACTTCTGCTACCTGTGCTGATGGCTGCTGAAAGTGGTAAAGTTCCAGTGAGCCCTGGTGGGAGGAGCCTTCCTCACAGCAAGGGTCCGCGTCTTCTAAAGTGGTATGCTGGTATTCTGGAAACTCCACTCTTTGGGAGATGTGGAGGAGAAAGTGAAATGGTGGCCACGGCCCAGACATCCTTAGACCTTGAATAGTGGTTCTGGATGGATCCCCACTGGGTTGTATGAGCAACCTGGTCATGGGTGTGGAGGCACATACCATCCACTGCACATCCCAGAGCATCTTTATTATCTCCTCTTTCTTGGGTGACCATGGGAACTATGGAAGCTGGGCTTGGGGACCAACACCAGTTCATAGCTGCAAGGGAATCCAGAAGAGCAGAGTGTCTTCATGGGGTATTGAGTACAAATCCCTTCTGCTTCCTGTTGCTGTCTGGTCTGCCTGGTGCAGTGGGTTCCATGAGTGTCGTTATCCTCTGTGTCCCTGGCACTTACTTCTGGTAGCTCATCTGACCATCCCAGCCTCCTTCCTCCTGCTTGCTAGTAACAGGTACTGCTTTCCAGATTGGGGGTGGGGAGTCCAAGATGAAAAGGAACAGAGGTCTATGTCTGCATCTCTGTGGTATAGAAGCCTGTCAGGTATGCTGAGCTGTTCTTCCTGACTCAGGGGTTGGCTGTTAACGTGTTTGGGGTTCATGACCAGTATTAAAAAGGATTAACTTGAGGCCAGCATCAGTGTTCCACTTCCGGATCAGCACGGTTGTCCTCTGCTTGCCAGTTTTTGCCCATCAACATCATGGGCACTTGAGATCAGGTGCAGGATCAGACATGAATGTCAAAGTGACACTGTTGGAATGTCATCTTGCCTAAGCATGTCCTGGTTTCTCATGTCTGATTGGACTTTTGTCCCCATCACCAATTTAGGTCAGTGAGTAGTGTGCTACCCAAATATCTTCTCCATCTGTTGAATGTCTCTGTGTGCCAGGCTCTGTCCCTTCTGGTGTTATTGGTTTGTGTTTTTCTCACATGCTTACTTGAGGCAGGTCCCTAGGTCCCTTGCCTAAGGCACAGGTGACGTACATTTGGCCCTAGGGCCCTAGGCAGCCATGGCTGGGCCTCTGTGTGGTTACTTGGTTTCTGTTGCCCAGAAGACCTCAGTGGATCTCTGCCATCCCAGTGGGCGGGCTGCTGCTGTCGGGAGACTTGCCTCGCTTCTCTTGCTGTCTCTGGGTGTCTGGGAAGATATTGGATAGTGGGACCCACTAGCGGGTTGCGCTACACTGTATTTCCCAGTCTCACACACGGCTGTCAGTGTTTTCCTAAGCCTAGCTTGTGTGCCTCCTTTATGACTCACCCCCAGAACGGCCAGGACTCCCCTCATCTCTGGTTCTAAAACCAGTACCTCCATTATCAGTGCCCGTGACCCAGACAGGAATCTGTCCCTCTCTCTCCTTCCCCGCCCGCCGAGGCTCCAGAGATGAGCTAACCCTGAAGTTCCCGCTGCCCTCTGCCAGGAGGGTGGTACTTGGAGAAGCAAACTTTTTATCTTGCTGAGTCCACAAATGCTTCAGGAAGCAGGATGCCGCAGTCCTCTCTGTGTTAGCTGGGGAGACTGGGACAGAGCTTGAGTTCAGGAAGCCTGCTCTTGGTTGGTGTTCGAGACCATAGTTTGACAAAGGGTATCTCTCCACACCCCTTTCCTCCGTTGACTCAAACCCTGTCCCGGAGCTATGGCTGCTGCCTTGCATCCCACAGAACCCAGGTCCCCCTCTTGCTCCAGGAGCTGAGCCAGATAATGCCTCTGACAGTGCCCTTTTTCCTCTTACGCCTTGCTTCTGTGTCCTGCCAGCCCTACCCCCTCACTGTCCTCTTTTAGGAAGGTGGGCTAGCCTGCACCTCTCTCTGGGGCATGGGCCCTGTGATCTGATACCCCAAGCAGGTACTGAAGAGTGATCTCATGACTTTGAAAAGGAAACCAGGCCATAGGAACCCCTGAGACATGAAAAAAAAAAAAAATGAATGTGTAGGACCTGTGTGCAGACAGCACTTACGGGCAGCCCGTGTCTGCACTGCCGGAGTCCTCGATACCATCTCTCCGGCGCTCTCAGTAAGAACTGGCTAAGTAAATGAATGACTCATCCATCATTCTGGTGGACTCCCATGGAGGGGGCTTGGCACGATTTCCAGGGTGTCCCTGTGGGTTCCTTAACAGCGGGCAGCTCTTCTGATCTAGCCTTCTTACTGTCAGGAATAGGTGTGTGCTCACCTGACAGCTGTCACAGGGTCAGCAGATGTCTAGCTACAGACCTGAGTCAGGAAATGGCAGATGCGCAGGGTAGGAGCTCTCTGAGCAGGCTGAGGGGAGCAACCTCCTGGGCCACTGACGGCTGACTCAGACAGATGACCCAAGTCCTAAGGGTGTTCCTTTCGTCAGCTCCAAATGCTTCGAAACCAGAAAATGTTACTTCCTTACATGTATCTGTGAGTTCCATAAGGTTCCACCCAGGTGACCTGCATTTTAGCCAGCTCTGCAGCTGGATTAATGTCTTGATGGTGCACAGCCTGGCTCAGCAGCAGAGACATTCGGAGGGATGGATCCATTTGGAAATGTCCACCCTTCTGGAAAGTCCTCTTGGCCTTTAAGACTTCATGATATTTTCCGTGTCCCTAATTGCACACATACAATAGGCCATGTGGCTGGTTAAAGATTCTGAGTCTTTTCTGAACATGGAGGTTTGGGGGGGAAGAACAGGATATCTGGAATCAAGGACCCAGCCTATGACCCTCCCAGCAGGGATTAGTCACGGTGGTGGCAGGGACAGCACACCATTCTGATGGTCATAGTTTGGTTCTTTTCCTCTGCATGTGTGTAAATCCTGGGAAGGAGATCCTGCCTTTTAGACCTTGAAGCAACAGATAAGTTGTGTGTACCTGTGAGCCTCTGTCCTTTGTTTGCATTGTTACGGTGTGCCCATCTCTCTTAACTTTGGAGGGCACCCTTGAAACCAAGTGTCGTTTTGGATATTACATCGCGGTTATCACTGAAGGATTCATCTCTGGGCTGCAAGGTTGCTAGGTTGGTTGCTAGGTAACAGCTGCTGGTGGGGGGAGGCTTTGTAAGATCGCTACACAGGGATAGCAGGATGAATCACCCTGAGGCAGCCAAAAGCCTAGGCTTCCAATGAGGCTTGAGTCAACGGGAAGAGCAGCCATTTAATTAATCAGAGGTGTTTTTACACTGAGAGTAAAAGCAGGCTAAGATGTTGCTCAAATGAACTAAACCTTAACATTAAAGAAAGAAAGAAAGAAAACAAACAAACAACAAAACCAACCCTGTGATTTCCCACTTGTGCAGGCAGCGTGTAATGGGCTGCTGGATTTGCTTCTTAATGTCCTGGAAGACCGATGCTCCACAGTGAGGCAGGCTCAGGGAAGGCTCTGCCAGCTTTCTCCTCTGCCCTCATGCTTTGTGGCTTCAGGGTGAAGAGGGCTGATGGAGGTCACACATATGCTCCAGTCAAGGGTTTTGTGATGGAGCCACACCCCTCTCTGGTACCACCACCCTGCTCTAGCCTTGAGAAGTTCTAAGGTCAGCCGTGCACATGGCCAACCTTTCAAGGTCAGTGAAGAGCTGGGAGGAGGTCGTAGGAGAGGCCACTTAAGGATGGTCCTCAGAGCTGGCAGTCAGTGCTGCAGTGGAGGTGTCCCTTGGCACGCTGTTGCAAATGATGCTGTGGGTGGTTTGTTTCTTTCTCTTGCATCCTTAATGACCTTGAGCTTCCTGTGTGCCTGCTTCCCACACTCTCTAATAATCCCCACGGCAGGTTCCAAGTCACACTTACTAACCGTTTACAAATGGCGATGCAATTTCCCTATATCCAATATAGAGAGAGAATGTGGGGGTAGGGTCTTCGTTCATGGTGGCAACAGAGACCTTAGAACCTTGTTTAAAGACCCTGATGACCTGCACCCGGGGCCACCCACATCTGCATCTGCAGAACATGCAGATTCTGGGTCCAGCTATGGGCAAGGGCTTCATCCCGGCTCAGGTAAGACATAGGTTGAATCACTGTGGGGTATGTGTCTGTGTTCTCTTCTGTGTAGTACCTAAAATATTTAGCTGTGCAAACACTTGGAGGTTTCAGGATTCATTCTCGGAGATTTTTTTTTTTCCTTTCCCTGTACTGCATTAGTCAGCGAAAGGCTGCTTTCCTTTCCTTGCCCCTCCCCCTGAGGGATGGAGGACAGAGACAGTAAGTGACCTAGCGCCATGGACCTGCTCAGCCTGGGCCCTTCCTGAGCCTTGCTTTTCTCGCCCTCCGTGGCAGCATCAGACCATTCACTCTCAGTGTGTAACGGGGAAGGCAGGGCTCAGACCCACGTCCTAAGACACTGACCTAGGTTAGAGTGAGTCCCCTGGTGTACTTGGCGGTGATTCTGCTGCTTCCTGCCTAGTGGGGAGGGCCGTGAGAACGGGTCAGTAGTCGACCAGGTCACCATAACCCAGGCATGAACTGTGACACTGGTGAAAGGCTAAGTGGGCAGTGATGCTGAGCAGCCAGCTCAGTTGGAGCATGAAGGATGCCCCCTTTCCTGCTTCATTGGGGTCACCCTGAGCCCCCCTCATCCTCAGCTCACAGGGGTCACACCCTGAGCCCCCTCCGCTCACTGGGGTCACACCCTGAGCCCCCCCACTGGGGTCACACCCTGAGCCCCCCCACTGGGGTCACACCCTGAGCCCCCCCCACTGGGGTCATACCCTGAGCCCCCTCCGCTCACTGGGGGTCAAACCCCAAGCCCCCTCTCCTCTATGGGTCATACCCTGTGAGTCTGTGGAAGCCAGAGCAGCCCTGGGCAGGGACGAATAGACTGTGTCCCTGGGTGAGATTGAGGAGGAGGGGGCTCAGGGTGACCCCACTGAAGCAGGAAATGGGGCATCCTTGGTACTTAGACCAAGCTCAGACTCCTGCCTTCCTCCTCCGGCCCATTAAAAACAGTGATAAAATACATATACACAACTCACCATCTCAAAGTACAGTCTAGTGACATTTAACAGTCATGCAGTCTGGAGCATTTTATTATCTCAGGAGCTGGCCCAGTCACATGGAGCAAGCCCCACTCCGCCATAGCCCCAGCAGCCTCGGATCTGTTTTCTGTCCCGGTAGATGTCATCTTCTAGACACATCGCAGAGCAGATACCCTGTGCAACCTTTCGTGTCTGACTTGCTCAGCAAGCCACTGTCAAGGTTCATCATCAGATGAACATGTATCAGCACTTCATTCTTTTTGAAGGCCGAGTAATATTCTGTTGTATGGACATACCACATTTTCTTTATCCGCTCAGCCATCTTTGTGCAGTGTTTCTTGAAAGACCTGTTTCTCTTTCTTGTAGGCAAATACCCAAGAAGAGGATTGCTAGTTGCCAGGATAATTTTTTATATTGTATGTGTTCTGGAACTGCCACTGTTTCCTGTACCAGGGCCACCAGAGTTCCGGTGTTGCCTCTGTGCATCACCAGAATTTGGTACAGCCATTACAGTGGGTGTGACATGGCACCTCCTTGTGGTATGATTTGCATTTCCCTGATGCTTAGCAACGCTGACCTGCTTCCTGGGATCTTGCCACACCAAAGGCTTTTTGACTCCAGCTCCTTGGTGTGTCAGTGGGCAGCTCAGTCAGCCGGCTCATGTCCCCACTTCTGCCGGGTCGCGATGCTGCCCTCACCATGCTTTCCATCCTACGGTCCCCTCTGGTCTTCACTTCCCCTTTCTCACCTCCCAATGAACTCTTTATCCCGTGAGAGCCATGCTCCTCCAGGAGGTCCCCAGCGTAGTCAGAGCGGCCTCTCTTGTGGCACTTATTTGCCGGTTTTAAATCGACACCAGGGTGATTTCGGAGGAACGGCCCAGCTGCTCAGCCATCTCTCGAGATGCATACTTTGGGTGGCTAATGTCAGATCCCTGAGAAGGTTCCCTCATAACTTGGGATTCCCAAAATGGGAGAAGGTAGGACCTTCTGAGTTTGAGGGACTTTGCCCCCTTCATGAAGGAAACAGAAAAGAAATTGGTGACAGGCTTGGTCTAAAGGCAAGCCCGGTCAGTCTGTTATTTACTCTTTGTTATATTTTTCCCCCTCTGATTTCACATACATTTGTCTCATTTGAAAACTATATCAATAGGTGAGCATCATGGCAAGGCCTGCAATTCTATCTAGTCAATGGTGAGGCTGAGGCAGGAGGATTGCCATTTCATGGCCAGCCTAGACAACTTAATGAGGCCTTGTCTCAATAAAAAATGGACCCAGGCACCATGTCCCCTGTGCCTGAGAGAGAAAAGGCCCAGAGGGCTGCTCTTCGCTGGTCAACTCATTTCTCCTCAAAGGACTCTCTTGCTTTTGTCCCTCGTTCCAAAGAGGGGTAGGAGTCAGCCCTGTCTGGAAGGAAGCCAGTGGCCCTGTAGGCCTCCCCAGGTCATGAAGGGAGAAGACTACACTGGTACAACTCCATCCTGTGTGAGAATATTTATTTAATAAAACCCAAATGCCCAGACCCCTGCCAGCCGAGAGGCCAGTTCCTGGGTTCTCTCTAGGTGCAGGAGCCTGCTTAGTAAGGGCTCATTTGGAGGCAGGCTCACTGGCCTCTCCCCAGTCACCCTGACTCTCTCAGGACACCCAGGAGGGGAGGAAGGCTCACCTGGGTAACCCAGGTTGCTCCGTACCCCAAGAGCCTTGGTGCGCTCCAGGGTTCGCAGTCCAGCTTGTGCTATGGGAACAACACTGGAGGTCTGGCTGCTGTTTCTTCATGTGTGTGTGGGGGCAAGAGGGCAATCTTGAGCGCCCTTCCTCCGGCCACATCCACCTTATTCTTGAGACCAGGTTTCTTTCTGACTTGAAATCACTGGCTATACTATGCCGGGTGGCCATACACTCTGTCTCCACAGTGCTGGAATTCCAAGCGCGTGCCATCATGTAGTTTTTTTTTTTTTAATTTTTTTAATTTACTTTTATTGTGGAGCCCCTTCGTTGCTGTGGCGAGGCAGAACACCGTAATGGAGAGAGGGTCTAGTGAGGCCTAGCCGCTCGCTCACGGCAGCTAGGAAGTTTTGAGTAAGGGTGGGGCGGGGAGTCGAGAAGCGAGGAGTGGGGAGGGGGAGGGGCAGGAACAGATGCCCCTTCAAAGGCACCCCCCCCCCAGTCCTCCCCAGGCCCACCTCCTAGTAGCCCGTCAACTATGAACTTGTCCATGGAGTAACTCACGGGTGAAGTTGGCGCCCCCCATTCACCTCAGTAGCTCTGAGGTGACGAAGTTCAGCAATGAGCCATTTAGGAGAACACTGATATTCAAAGTAGCCTCCGGTTACAGGGATTCTGTCTATACATGGGATCCTGTGTTTGTGCCCATGACTCCAGTCGGGCCAACGACAGGGGATACCTGGGCAGCAGTCAGCAGTTCTGATGTCCGGCTTCCACCCCTGATACTCGCTGTCATGACTCTGGGTGGGGCTCCTGTGGTGATAACAGTGAGCCATCATGAGAGGCTTTCATTTCCCTTGCTGGTTCCTGGCTCCCCTAGTGTCCCGATGGCCCAAACGAAGGTACTCCCTCTTTGACATTTGGGCCTCTGTCAAGAGCCAAGTGCGACATCATGGTTTTCCAGCTTCTGCATGGAGGCCGCAACACTAGCTTGGTGTGTCCACTGTGTTCCTGCCTGGGATCTCTTGCAGATAGTACCATGAGCGTCGGCGTGGAGCTGGAACCCCTTTTCACAGATGAGGGGCTAAGGAGTACAAGGGGTGTCCTTTTCAGGCTGCCTTGCGCCCGGCACCTGCTGCAAAGGGCTAGCTCACCTGAGTCTGCAGGTTCGTCTGTCCTGAAGTTGACTGAAGGATGAATGGTGGTGGGTGGTGTAATTCTCCTGCTCGTCCTTGTAGAGAAAGCCTCAGGGAGGCTCTCCAAACCTGGAGGGGTTGCAGGTGTCTGACTCAGTAATTTAGTTCTGTGTTCTAGAATACTACTAACTGCCTTGTTTATGTATATGTTGGGGAGGGGGGTCATGAAGGTCTCCAAACTGGGGTCAGGAGGAGCTCGTGTTTGGTTATTTGATGTCTGCCTGTACAGCTGGTGTCCGGAACGAGGCGGGCGGGGAGGTAGGAAGCCAGCTGCGTCTGTTTGTACAGACTGGTGTCCGTGGGCCACATGCTGGCTCCTAGGGTCTGCCCAGGGATCCTGAACTCTCCCCCATGCTTCTCCATCTCACTCCTCTCTCACCTCATAACATGCGTTTGCCACCACCACGTTCCTCAGCAGCCAAGTAGGCATCTTAAGGTCTAAATACAGCAGCATCTTGTGGTGCCTGACCACTGTTGCTTGCGCATCTGTGAGCCGTGTCTCACCACAGCCACTGCTGTGGCTTTGTACCTACCCAGGGCTGGGCATTCAAGTGTGTGGCTTATGGCCCCAAGGAAACCCAAACATAATCTCTGTCCTCGGACCGACCACCGCAGAGTGCAGGGCTGAGGGCAGAGATTTTGCCTATGCGGTTCCAGCATGGGGTAGCCTGGGGTCTGAGGGACAGTGTCCTCACACAGAGACCAGTGCCCAGAGATATCTGTGAGCAGCTGTTTCCTTGGTGACAGGTGCTCAGCTCTGTATGTGGGGGGCCCTGAGTACAGCCCAGCTCCACTTCTCTGTCAAGGGTCCGAGCTGCTGGGGAGCCATGCGGCCGCTACGTCTTGTGTCTGTGCACAGAGCTTGTAGCCTTGGAATACCACAAACCCATGAAGGTGACACGTGGATGATTTGAAAAGTTAAAAGCCATACAAAATAGCCAAGAAGAGGCGATTTCCCCCGGTCTGCGCAGGCGCACACACCTTGTGTGTATGACTGCTTCTGCTTGTCGGTCGGCTGTTTACCCACGGCCTTCTCTGCCTCTTCCCACAGGTTTCTGTGCTGGTTCTCTTTGCCCTGGCCTTCCTCACTTGTGTCGTCTTCCTGGTTGTCTACAAAGTGTACAAGTATGACCGCTCCTGCCCGGATGGGTTTGTGTTGAAGGTAAGGACTTAGCCCCCTGGAGGTGTCTCTGCCCCTCTTCCCTCCCCAACCCTAGGGCCCTGTAGCAGGAGCCTTGGCTGTGCACCTATAGTGGGAGGGTCCTCCGAAGGCCCTGCCGGGGCAGCCAGACAAGGAGGCTGACGACACCAGAGGGCTCACTGTGCAGGAACCCCCTGGCTTATCCCTGGGGCAGAAAGTGCCAGCTGTCACTCCCTCTAGTACCTGGTGGGGTTTGGGGGCTGGGACCAAAAGAAAAACCCTGCCCCAAGCCACACAGAGGGGCTCTCCTGCAGGCTCCATTGCAGGAGCCGTGTTGGCATCTGGACTTTATGCACACATGGAAATGTTCTCTCTGGTTCCGTGCCTCCTTCCCACGAGCCTGCTGTTGGCACAGATGCATTTACACAGGACAGAGGACCAAGGAAGCAAAACTGAGGGAGGGGAGATGATGGGGTGGAGGGAGGGGAGATGGGGTGGAGGGAGGGGACGGAGAAGAGCAGAGAGGTGTAGGCTTGCATGTGCCACTCACTCCTGTCTGGTTTGAACTTCCCAGCTGATAGAAAACGGTCCTGGGCAGGACTCGGAGCTCCTGAAGGGTAGGCAGAGCAGGCACTGAGTGCGCCTGTGCCGAATGGCTCATGGGTCTTTGCTGGATGGATGGCGGCTCTGGGTTTTGCTGAGGCGCAACTGCCGTTCCCTGGCAGAGCAAGTTAGAAGAGCTGAGTGTTCACATACCCCAGGCAGGGCCTCCTCCTCCTCTTACACCTCGAGGTCCTTCAGGGCTTCTGACAAGTCTGGCTGCTCAGGGTGTTAGGCTGCAGCCAGGAGCCACTGATGCAAAGACAGCTTTCCTGAAGCCCTTCTGGTTCAAGAAACATGAGGTGGGCAGGCATGCGTATACTGACTGAGGAGGACTTGGCATGGAGGAGTATGGGGGGCCTGCCCTTTCTAGAAGGTGGCCCTTACTGGGGCCGCCCGTGGAGCATGGGGCAGAGTAGGAGATGGGGTGGTGGGTGGTGACAGTAGGGGTGTGCTGGGTGGGAGAGGGGCCAGGGTATGGCCAGACTATACACTGCTAAGCACCCTCAATGCCTAAGCCAAGGCCCTAGGAAAGGAGTGTGGCGAGGAGGATGGTCCCTTGGGTCACCCGGACGTTGGGAGAGGCCGGCAGGAGCTGATGGAGGGAGCTGCTAGAGTGAGGCAGGGCAGGGAGGGCCTGGATGGCAGACACAAGGTGCGAGGCAGACGAGCTTGGCAGTACGTGGACGGGAAGGCTGAATTAAGGAGGCCAAGGAGGGACAGAAGTGGAGAGCCTGGCCCAAAGCTGAGTGACTGACTGAAAGGCTGCTATCATTGGGGACAGGCAGGGGACAGCTCCATCCTGCAGCCATTGCTCACAGATGAGGGGGAGCTCCCTACCAACCACAGACCTAGGCATCCTGAGTTTCCTGTCCGGTCCCTTGTCTCCAGTCTGGGGCAGGTCCCTCCCAGGAACAGCAAGAGGCTAAAACTTCTGGCTCTATTTGGCAAGCCCAAGTGCTGTGGGAGAAGCTGATGCAGAAGGATGATGATGATGGTAATGATGAGAAGAAGATGAAGGCGGGATCGAGCCTGACTTCAGATCAGATTCCTGGCAGTGTGGAGGGGACTCAGGATCTGCATGGATAAAAGGCCCTACAGGGCGTGTGGTCCTCAGCCCCTTGGGAATTCAGAACCCCATAGGTAGTTCTGGAAATGCACTACTGTGGGCTTGTACATTTTCCACCAGTCTTAATGGTGGTGATCTGGATGATACAGCCAGGAGGTATAAGGTGACTTTCTGGGTGGGTGAGGGGGCCTTTCCTCCATCCATGTGTGGAGGGTTGGTCGTGAGGGCTGTGAGCCACGCTCACCCTGAAGTGTACGCGCAGAGCCTCAGGGGGCGGGGTGTCCCTCCTACCTTTTACCAATGGGAAATTGGGTTCAGATGCTCTTGCTCATGTCCCAGGTCATGCCCTTCAGTTCCTTCAACTCCTCAGCACATAATTTCTAGGGCATCTTTAAGTGTACCAGCTGAGCCCTGGGGATCTGGCTGGACAGGATGCCTAGGGGGAGGGGAGTCCCATAAGTCCGTGTTCTACCAAGAAGCCCTCTTGCCACAGCCAAATGGCCTAAGCTGAGGAATGTGTAGAGGCAGGAAAAGGCAGACAGAGGCAGGGTAGTGATGTGTGCCTTCGATCCATGCCATATGACAGCCACACACTTTCCAAAACACCCCTGTGGGTGACTGAGGCTTTGTATTTTACTTCCTTTACCAGAAAGGGAGTGTGACAGCCTTTCTCCACATGGGTATAGACTGAACACCTGAGCCCCCCAGCTCCTTCTGCGGATCTTGACACCATCAGCCCCTCCGAGGGCCTCTGCGCATCGCATCTTTTAGTAGCCCTGCTGTGCTATGCAGGAGGTGTCAGACACCACCTGCTGTCTTCTTCCAGCCTGGCATCAGGCAGGGGCATTTCCCAGCTGCCCTTGGATGCCCATCCCTGTCCCATGGCTCCTCAGGTCTTGGTTTCATGCACAGCTCCAGCAGGGTCCTGCACTGTGTGCCAGACTGGACAGGAGTAAAGATGGTAACTACAGCCCTCTCCACACTTCCCCAAGGACTGGAGAGGGATATGTGTCAAGGGCACAGTGAGGGCGTCAGTGCAGGCTGGAGGAGCTTGGTCAGCTGTAGAGTCCCAGCGGGCCTGTGCAGATATTTTCTTCTGCAGGGGAGGGGTTCCAAGCCGGGGGTGGGGTGGGGTCAGGACACGGTAGGCTGTACTCTGGAGGGTTCTTGGAACGTCTCATCTTTTCTGTTTATCATCTTTGGCCATACCCTGGCTTCTTTCTGAGCTGCCCGGCACTGACTCTCATCCTTACAACAAAAGCAGCCAGGATGTGTGGCAAATTAGCCCATTTTAAAGATGAGGCGACCGGGGCGCCGAAAAGAGCACTTGGGATCTCGGCTGGAGCTGTGCCCTGGCCCTAAGGCTTGGCCTTGCCTGTAGCACTCAGCTTCAGCCAGTGCTACCCCCAGAGGTGCTGCCCCAAGGGCAGGATCAGCAGCAAGCCCCCTCTACAGCTTTGTGGCCTTTTCTGAACTCGCTCTCAACGCTTAGGGATGTCTAAGCGTTATACTTCAGCTGCTATGGAGACCCCAGTATCCTCAGGCAAGGGCTGATCCTTTCCATCGTTATCTACCTTACGGGTGGTGAAGGCGCTTCTGAGGAGAGGCACGAGGGATGCCATCCCAGAAAGGGTGTTGTCAAGGCTGGAGCCCCCCCCCCCCCCCCCCCCCCCGTGTATATGGGTCCCGAGTGCCCACTGGGTCCTGCACTGTTGCCGTTATCATCTTTCCGATCATCACCTTCCTAGGCCCCGTGGTGACGATCCCGCATGCTGGCAGCTCTACCAGGGCTCTTTATAACTCACCCTCTGCCCCTCCTGGAGAGGCCAGTTGACCTCGCTGAGTGACCAGCAGGACTCCGTGGCATAGGCTGTGCCATGTTCTTAGCCACCTGCTGACCACTCCCCACAGTCCAGGCCCCACACCCACAGCAGGCTCTGTGCCGGAGGGGTCCTTAGCAGGGAGGGCTCACTCTGAAAGAGAAGGAATCCCCCCAATTAGTTTCCAGATCTGCCCAGATGGCTGCTCTCCATGATCGCAGCCTCCTTTCTCCGTCAACATCCTTCATGCTCTGCCCTGTTACACCAAGCAGCAGCAGAGCAGTGTGCCAAGTGGGTCAGGGTTCAGAGGGAGACACTACACTCCAGCTGCAGTGGCCTTTGGCTGAGTAAGGAAGGACCACACACCAGGAGGCCAGGTCAGTGTCTTCCTCAATGACCTCTCTTTCGGGAAAGGGTCTCCCACTGAGCCTGGCAGCCCGGGATTACAGGTGTGCTCTCCTCTCTGTGCAGGCCCTGAGTGCTAAGTGTCATGTAGGGGTGACTGTATAGTAGCTGCAAAACCAGAAAGTGTGGGCGGGTGAGCCGAGCTGGTCTCTACTCCCGAGGCCATGTGTGCCAAGAATTGCTAGCTGGACCGAAGATGCCTGTGGCAGAAACTGAAAAAGAACAGGGTGAACCCATTGTTCTCGGGGTGGAGGCGATGGAAAGGGCTGGCACCTTGGAAGGGTGGCCCTGTGTGGTGGCGGACAACAGTGGCGGAGGTCCCAGCTGGAGCCGTGCTCTCACGTTTGCTTGTGTGGTTCTCATCTGCGTCAGCGAGCCTCTTCACCTCTCCAGGCTCCACTTTTCCACCTATAAAATGGACTGAGTGGCATGAACCTTGCAGAGAGAGAGAACTGCCTCTCTGCAAGAGGGCACGAGGGAAGCCTGCAGACAGGTGCACTGCAGTCCCCTTCTGTCGCTGCAAGAGGAGGGACAGAAGGCCTGAGAGTCACCGGATATTCTCGAGGGCATGCACCCAATTGGGTTGTCCTATGGACCTGCCCTTGGCTTTCACACTTAGGCAAGAGGAAGTTCCTAGGAACCACTCTCTGATACCTTAGGCGGCCTACCCACTCTACTGGAGGCCTACTCTGCGGTTAGGGATGGAGACGCTAGGTCATCCAAGAGAACAACTCGGCATTGTGTGTCATGTAATAGGAGTGGGTCCTGGGCTGTGGCCTGGGCTGATGCTGAACTCACTCCTCAGGGAGACACCTGAAATAGAGATGATCTCAGTACAGCTCCAAGCCATTCTGGGAATGAGTATATGGGTCTAAAAACTCCCACCACCTCTGACTCAACTGTGGGGTCTCACAGTCCTATCTGAGCAGGCTTGGTGACACCATGCTTTGGGGAGCTAGACACAAGTAACCGTGGCTTCAACAGGGTGGGAAGTTCACTGCTGGTCTCAGAAGTCCAAACTGGAAGGCAGTGCAGGGACTCATCTCGAGCTCTGGTCCCATCTTTCCCTGCTCTGTGGCTCTTGAGGGTTTGTCCTCTGGGTAGTCAGAGCTGGTTGGGAAGAGGATATGTGGACACTAGTGGGAATACAGCTGCTCTTTGGGAGCCAGCCCCAACGCTGCTTGTTACAGCCATTCAGAGTCTCTTGGCTTGAGGCTAGCCACATAGCCCTATAGAGCAGGTTAGAAATGCAATCATTGACCAAGTGCATAGCTCAGCTCAGAGGATAACTCGCAGGGGCTGGTTCCCGTCTCCTACCATGCAGGTCCTGGGGATTGAACTAGTGTTGTCAGGCTGACTTCAAGCATAGTTACCTGCTGAGCCAATTCACTGGCCCCTCTCCCGAGCCTTCCGCAGTGTTCTTCCTCTTATTTCAGGTGGACTGTGTGTAGACATGTCAAAAGTGTCCTTTCTTCTAATAGATGAACAGCCAAGGACAATCAGCCAATTAAGAAGCTTGATGAAGGGAGGCCTGCTGCCTCTTACACCTATCCCGGGAGCCCTAGTGCCCACTGCAGCACAGCCAATCTTGTAGCTAGCTATGCCCGCAGAGGGCAGACCCATTCATCTGTCCATTGTCAGGGTTTACTTAGTGCCCACGTCTACAAGCTCAGGGAAGGTGCTTAAGAGCAATTTGGGGGAGGGGGATATTCACTGCAGACACATGATGGTACCCACTGTATCTACCACCATCTCCATGGCCTCCTGTCTTACAGAACACCCAGTGTATTCCAGAAGGCTTGGAGAGCTACTACACGGAGCAAGACTCCAGTGCCCGGGAGAAATTTTACACTGTCATAAACCACTACAACCTGGCCAAGCAGAGCATCACGCGCTCCGTGTCACCGTGGATGTCAGTTCTGTCAGAAGAGAAGCTGTCCGAACAGGAGACTGAAGCTGCGGAGAAGTCAGCTTAGCCAGCTGGGCGGGTTCCTTACAATGTGTCACTTGAAGGCAACAAAGGGACTTTGAGGGACATTTCATTAAATATAATTACTGATAATTTAGAGGTTACTCATTTACGGTGCAATTGCTTCTGTTTGCTAATGCTGCTTTGCAAATAAAACTTGCTGCGGACCACCCACAGGCATAAAAACAAGCGCATCTCAGCATTGCTTAGAGAGCTTGACACCACAGCCCATGCTGAGGAGTCTCCATTTAGCTCCTTCACTGGGGTTCACTGGATGCTGTCAAAAGATAATGTACACTGGATGGATATGCCATGGGTCTGGCCACCAGAGCAGTGCAATTGGCGGTTTCCTTTTTTCTTTTATGCCCCCTTGCTGTCTGCAGACCTTACTCCATAGCCATATCTAGAGCGACCGCCATGCTTTGCCGGCAGCAGTGCTAACTGCTAAGATGCCCTGTTAAGTGGCACAGAGAAGGGCAAGTGCGCGCCTCGACACAGCCCTGCTAGCCCCTGCCTGGGCAATTCTGGGAGGTCCTCTTTGGTGTGTGCACTGAGCAGAGTTCAGGGGTGGGGCGGGGAGGAGCTGGCGCTGGGCCAGGGGGTGCAGAGCCTGTTTTCTTGTGTGGGGGGGCTGTCTGCTGGTGATGTGCTAGATAGGAAGAAAGCCCACCGGCCCTTTCCTTCCCTGTTACGAATATGTTTGCACGTACAGCCCTGTATGCAGGTGTGTTTTGGCTTTTCGTTTTATTAATGGCGTGGGCAAAGTGAAAATGTAATTTTGGGTAAGCCAGGGCTACTTTAGCTTTTACTCTGTGAACAGATGTGACTCGTGTGCTCTGAGAAGGGTGCAGGACGGCTGCTGGGGGAGGGGGAGCTGATGTGGCACCTTGCAAAGACAATATCTGAGTCTACAATCTTTGTAAGAAAAGTTTGTTTGTTTCAATCTGAATCTTGACATTAAAGTATATGTTTACAGAATCACCAGTAGGTAAACTACATGTGTAAGACAATTAAATAGAAAAAGGTATTCATGGTTGTTTTCTTCCATGTTCTCAGAATGTGTTGTTTCTAGGGGGCATGTCAGAAGTCCCAGTGTCCCTTAGTAGGTCAGAAATAAGCGGCAAGTAGTGGGAGACCCTCTGTCAGCAGGGAAGGGGACCACGGTCGGCGACGCTGTGTTTCCTGAGGTGTGCTACTGAGACAAAACAGTTTATTGTTGGGGTGTTTTGAAACAAGGACCATGAGTTCAGCACAGGAGGGGGGGTTGTCATGTGTTTGGAGGGCGTTGGAAAGCTGTGAGAAATGCATAAAGAGCAATAAACATGTGCCAAAGCTTGCCCTGCTGGGGTCTGACTCGCGGACTATGTGAGTGCAGGAGACAAGCCCCATGGTGTTTTCTAGTGGTGGCACTTTACCCACTGTGAACCCTCCCAGTGTAACTTCTCACGCTCACCCTGCAAATAAAAAGCTTGTGGGTACCTGAGCTGCACGCTGGACTGTCTGTACTCATGCGCTTCAGCAGGGATTGTGAGACACCAGGGTACATCTGGGAAGATGTAGGCTGGTGCTGCACACTTACAGTTCTTAACAGGCAACTCTGTGGCCTCTTGTAGAGGGGCAGGTATGCAGGAGCAGGGCAGGAGGAGGCCCGGCCTTCAGTCCACACCCTTCTTGGGACAGGAAACTAGGCTTTACATGCCCTAGGCTCTGGCTCTGCTCTTCACATGCTGGAAGCCAGGGCAGGAGAGGGGCCTAGTGGAGGGCATCAGTGTGCCTGTCCAGTCAGGTGGCAGCCACCCACAGCTGCTCCGTGGCGACGCACTGGCTGCAATAAGTGGCTGTAATTGCATTTATTAGCTTGACAAGGCAGATGTGAACAATTTTCTATGACAAAATGGCCACATATCAGCACACATTAGATGCCACAAGGCATAAGAACCAATGGCTTTAGAAACATTAGATGTGTTCTCCCCTGAAGCTACTGGTGTGTGAAGGCAGGAGACGAGGCCCCAAGCATTGTAATGGGGACAGCAGGTGTGCCATATCCCTGCCAGGCTCAACCCCACCATGGTTGTGGCCTCTCGTGGAGGCGCAGCACATGACAGCCCCTCCCCCACCCTCTGAAGACGGCCCAGGACACTTTGAACCCATGCATTTCCGGGTCCTGACAGGTTCCAAATGTTGGCTCGGGGGGGGGGGGGCACGACTCCCCAGTCCTTGGACCTTACACAGCTACGCGGCAGACGCGATGCATGCTGGTGCGTGGCATGTCTGAGGCAGCAGCGTGGGCACGGGCGCAGCCCTGCAGGGCTAGCTGTCGTACCAGTCAAGGAAGAGCAAGGAGAAGGAACACATCACGAGGAAGAAGAGGATCCACACCCGGAAGCCCGCATTGTTCTTGATGGCCTGGCGGGAGGGGCACTGGGGTCAGCACCCCTCTTGACTGGGTTCAGAAGACCTAGGCACCCCAATCTCCCACGCACACCTCCCAAGCTCCCCTTAGATAGGTGACTCCATGCTTGGAGACCGGACAGAGAACAAATGCCTTGCATTCCAGTTTTAAAATTACACTATCTCCCTGTGTGGGTGGGTGGGTTGGAGGGCATGCCAGGGTGTAGGGCCACAGTCAACTCTCTGCTGGCATCATGTGGATTTCAGGGATCAAAATCAGCTTGTCCTGGATGGTAGCAAGCACCTTTGCCCACTGAGCCTTTGCCTTCCATCCTCTTCTGTCCTAACCTCCTAGGATTCAACTGCCCAGGAACTACTCAGGTCTGGCCCAGGGCCCAGGTTGCCCAGGGATGCTCTTGTCTGTGCTGACAGTGGGCCAGCCTGGAGGTCTGGGCTGTAGAGACAGTCTGCTCTCAGGGCCAAGTGCCCTAGAAGTTTCTGGGCCCTCACTCTCAGTGGTTTACCCTTGGCTTCATATGGTCCTGGCCCTACCTGGATGCCCTCCCACCCACACTGTTCTTGCAGGGCCAGGAACTATTTCCTCTTGAGAATGAGCTGCAAATGAGCTGGTCGGTCTTGTGGACACATGCTCTTAGGCTGGCCCTGACGGGAAACCCATGACTACAGCTGCAGGACAGGTCCGGAGTGATACACAGTGCTCCTGGACAGCCTTACCAGTAAGACTCAGGCTGCTGGGACGCAGTGCTGGGCCAAATCAAACCCAAGAGCCCCAGACACCCACCTCTCGTATGTCTTCGTTGCCTTCCTTGATGTTTTCAGTTGCCCCCACGACTAACTGGTGGATGCTGTCGATCTCGGTTTCCTGTAGAAAGAGTGTCAGATAAACCCAGCCACTCCCTCCTCCACCAAGAAGATGTTCTTCTGCAAGTAGTTGTTGCCGTGTTTCAAGGCTGTACCTACACAGCCTGGGCATCCTCATCTGAGAGGTGGCTCAGGGATGTTTACTAGCTTATAGGAGGCCACACAGTATCTGAGTGGCAGGACTAGAATAAGGCTCTTGTTGGGCAGTAGAATCTACACTGACTGCTACCTATCACCTCTCCTGTGTCACTTGTCAAGTGACAAGGACAAATATGACCTGATGATTCTGGACCGGCCATTCCACTAAGGGCTCTCTCCCAGCATTCCATTAATTCTTTATAAGGTCTAGAGGCCAGCTTCAAAATGTTATAGGCTTTGAAACATACTAGCTACCCCACCAGCATATTTTAACGCATTGCAAAAGGTAAGAGTTAAAACGTGCAGACGCTGAGAGAGCCCGGAAGTGGGGTTGCTGGTCACGACTCATGAGACCATGCTATATGAGACCCCACCATGCCAGCCACATGGTACTTACTGCCTTTGATCTCCCTGCGGAGGGGCAGGAAGGTGTGCCCTAATGCGGCCTTTTAGGAACCCTGCCTGATAGACTGCTGTAGAATGGGAAGCAGGATTCAACTACCCAGTCCCTAGCAGTGACCCCGGTGGAGGATATCAGATCAGGAGCTGAGGGGTTTGCCATAAACAGCCCCAACACTGATAAAAGCTTGGTTCTTGAGGCCTCAGCAGTCCAAGAGGCCCTTGGCTGGACTCTAGAGGGACACCGACCCCCTAAGGCACACCTCCTCCCCTGGGGCAGCACTCCCCTCTCAGTGGGACTGCTTTCCCCGGGCTTTGGGGCAGTCGCTGCTGGCAGTTGGTCTCCCTTGGTAGAAGGCTGATTACTGGAGCCTAAGAGGCTGTGACACTTTCCTACATGCGGCTAGTCAGGGCATGTCACCGGAGCACAGGACACATTCCAGTGGCATGTGTGCTGTTACTACAGCAGGGCACTACCTGGCTTGGTCAGAGTCCCACTTAAAGGCCTGCCATGGGCCAGGTATGTCAGTGGTCCTTGTTGGTTCTGAGAGTGAGGCAGGGCTCACCAGCTCCACTTCTGACAGGAATGGGGCTTAGGAGATGTCCTGGCCACAGCATGCAGGGTGGAGCATCCAGACTGATCTCCCTTCAAGTGTTTCAGACAAGGAGAGCTCTCCTCAAAGCAAGCTGCTAGGCCAGGAGGAGCTTGCTTGGATGGCTTCCTGTGTCATGCAACTGATATGACCACCAAGCTGAGGTATCTGCACAAAGCCCGCCTCCGGGCTTCATGAAGTCTGTGAAGAATACCTTACTGTTAATGACCTTGAACTCCTGTTATTAGCTTCTGCCTCGTGCATGTTGACTTAACTCTGTTGTGAGGTTCAGGACTTGTTTCGTGAGAGCCGACAGCCCAGAGACAGAGAGAGGTGTTTTTCCCAGAGTCTTCTACAGTTCATGGGTGCTAAAGTCCTAAGGTCACCTGGAGCAGTCCTACCCCGTCAGACTGTGTTCCCGAGGCAGCATGGACTGGCTGAGAGACTATCTAATTTCTGGAGCACTGTGGACTAAAAGCAGCCTCCATTATGCACTGTGCAGGGCTCGTCTGTGGTTATCTGTGAACATAATAGCAGTCCCGTGTCTCACCCCTTCCTACATTCAGGGAGTGATGGTGTGGAGAGCTACTTGTCTCCCAGCCCTGGACTGCATCCTCCTACCTCCACCAGACACTCTAGCTCTCAGGGACTACTCTACTCTAAGCTGGGTCTCCACATAGAGCCCTCTTACCTGGGACCTTGGAGTGGTGTGACGGGCTACCAAAACATGGTGCTGCCTGGTCTGCACCACTCAGATCCTCTGGAAGAGGGTTCGGAGCTCTAAGTCAGCTCTAAGGCAAAACTCAAAACTGCCGGGCCTTTGGTTCTTTTTTACCTGTTGTAAAACTTTTTCAGTGAATATCTCTTGGAGTCTGGAAATTTCAACGACTCTCCCTTCGATTTGCCTTTAAAAAGGAATCAATAGGTAACATGTTAGTTATTGGCTCTGGGTAATCTAAGAGGGATGGTCCACATCCCTGAAGGAAGGAAGCATCAAGGTGAGAGCAAAAGGAGATGGGCGGGGCGGGGCGGGGCGGGGCAGGCACCGTGAGTCCTCAGCATAGCCTAGTTACAACAGCATGATGCCTGCTGGAGAATCAAAAGGCATGGTCCCTTGGAAAGCGCATCTTTAAAAAGTACACTTCCCTCTCAAGCCAGCTCCTTGGGTCAGCGTGTGATGACCCCATCTGGTTTAACAACTAAGTGCCTGCCCAACTTTGAAATGAGGGGTGAGCCTTTTCCTGCTTCTTGCAGCTGGGGACACCTTGGGGCAGGCTGGGGCTGCGCGGGTCTGGTTGAGGCTGAAATTAACTGCTCCATCACTGCTGGTGACAAGTCAGAGGCAGGAGGAGGAAGGTGACAGGAATGGGAAAGGCAGGCAGGAGACACAGAAGGAACAGTATCAGGTCTTGGGGAAGGAACAGCAAGGTGGCTGGCGACAGGGAGAGCTAGGCTGAGAAGAGGGAGGTCAGAAGGGGAGAACCATCTTTGGGACAAACCCCTGGGACTGTCCAGGGGGAGCAGCCCTGCCCTGAATAAGTCCCCAGGCTGGGAGGGGCTGTACCCTGAATGGAACAGAGCTGTGCACAGACCCAGCTGTTGCTGTCAGAGCACTGTGATACTCCTGTGGCACAAAGGCCCTTGAGTGAGTCCACTGTCAGCTCCAGCCACATGAGTGTGAGCCTCGTCACCTGGCAGCAGACACTACTAGAGCAAGCACCATCACAAGGTCCCTGACTTCATCTTACAGCCACTCCACCCAGGCAGCCCTGTGCTGGTGGCTGTGGCCCTACCTTTGGGGTGGCCTATCCTTAGCAATGCTCTTTCTACAGCTGCAGCACCCATAAGCTTACTGTAGCAGCCAGTCTCCTCCCACAGGCCCAGGCAGCCCTGCCTGGTTACATGTGGGTGCTTGGGTGCCAAAGCAAATGGAAAAAGCTCCCAGTGTCTAGAAAAGCTGTCATCAAGCCATTAGCTATATACACACCTCACTTCATCAAATAAGCTGTTCATTTCACCAATGAGCCGCTGATTTTCTTGTTCAAACTGCAAAGAAACACACACACTCAGAGTGATGGCAAACGGAGCTCAAGAAAGGGGCTAGAGGAACCTTTGACCTCCCACCTTCTAAGGATCACTGCCCAGTCCCATTGGCCAGCACGGGGCTCACTGCCGCCACCCATCTCTAGCACCAACATTTTTAGACAGGACTTGGTGTGGGGAAGACTGAGCTGGGCAGCAGAGGCTGGCAGGCTACCTGGCCTGTGACAGGGACGGTCCTGTGAATCTTGAGAGCCCTGTGTGATAGCACTAGGATTAGAGGTATGCACTGCTGTCTTTTCAGAATAAGCCCCAGGTCTACTCCACTGACCCGTCCTAAAATGTTTTCTGTGGTGTTGAGTCTAGACCCTGGATGCACCTGAGCAGAAGGCTCCGAAAAGAATCGGTAAGGCTACATGGCTGCCTGTTGAGATGCTCCTCTGCCTAGGACACCAGTGGACTGTTTCTCCGTTGGCCTTGCCTGGCCTGGCAGAAGAGACCTAAGAGCCTAAGGTACATGTTGTCTGTGATCCAGTCACTGCCCAGCTCTGTGATGACAGCCTCTGCCATTTCTACAGGGCACAGGTGCATGCCACACCTCTTCAGGCCGGCTGGGGACAACAGCACAGGCACTATGTTAAGGCCTGGCCACAGAGCAGATGGGGGCACTTTCTCTGGAGCCCCCCTGCATGCAGCTTCACTGTGACATTTCTTAACTTGTTCGGGGACCAGCTCTGTCAAGGGTTAGAGCCATCAGGGACCAGCTTCTGTCAAGGGATAGAACCACCTTTCCTTAGTCCCTGAGCCCCGCACAAGCCCTGCTGCTCATCACAACACAAAGGGGCTGGCTTCACCCATCAGACCAGGAAATGGGAATGGAGGAGATGGCAATGCTTCAGGAGGGCAGACGAGTGGGCAGTTCCCAGCAGGACTTGGGCTACAGCAGGCTGGATACAGCATTGCTAATGGCTCTTTTCAGTAGGTATCAAAGGGACCACGTAAGAGAATAAAACCTTCACTTTTGAGTCAGAAAGTGCCAGCTGTTGCTCAGCAGTGACTTAGGAGGCCAGACTTCCCTGAGAAGGTGTAATTACTTCAGTTGTAGGTGCTAATTTACCTGCATTAATCTCCTCAGGTATGTGCAGGCTTGTTTTCCAGGGAGGCATTTTCTTCCCCCCCCCCCAATGATAAAATATGGTCCTGCCCTTTTAAATCTTGTCCTTAGTTGCTTTGAAACTGTTCCTAAATACAATTAACTGTGAGTCTAGGTGACTTATTACTGGAATGTTGCCTGGGTTTGTTTCTGGTTTCCTCCAGTTCAGCCTTAGCAGCTGTTACTAAAGAAATCCTAACACGGGCTCCAGGGGCCAGGCAAAGGCACAGCTTCTGCTTCTGGTTTCCCTGAGCCCAAGGGTCCTGTATGCCATCTCAGAAATAGCCAGCCTCCCAAGGAAAAGAGAAACAGATGCCTTAGGCCATCCCATGTGGTAAGGGGTGAAGAGCGTACTGACGGGAGCTTCCATGGAGAGCACCACCACTACAGGGCAGGGCAAAATGAAATGGAGTTAATAAAAACAAACTCTTCCCCTAAGCCAGTTGTTCTCAACCTCCCTAATGCTGTGACCCTCTGATACAGTTCCTCATGTTGTGGTGACCCCCAACCATAAAATTAATCATTGCTCCTTCATAACTGCGATTTGACTACTGTTATGAATCATACTGTAATGCCTGTGTTTTCCTGTGGTCTTAGGTGACCCTGTGAAAGAGTTATCCAACCCCAAAGGGTTGTAGCCCTCAGGTTGAGGACCACTGCCTTAAGCAGCAAGGCCACCATTTACTGAAGTCTTATGGGGTCTAGAGTGTTCATTGGCACTGGGTTCAAGGCAGTGCTCTGAAAGGCAAGCCTGCCCCAAAGGTTGGGTGGCAGGGGCAGTTGGTCATATACCCCATAGGTATGGAAACAAGGTGGGAGGCCTCATGAAAATGGCTGGGTGGCCCTAGGAGGTCAACGGCTTCTCAATGGCCATTAGTTTCTATGTGGACAGCTGGGAGCCTTATCCTTCCCTGACCCTGAGGTGTACAGTCACAGCTGGGATCCCAGCCCTTTCCTTTGAAACTGTATGTTTTTGGGCAGGTGAGTAATTCAATCACTGTCCCTTGACTTTTGTCACCAAATGGGGACAAAAGGACTTAGACAGTGAAACCATGAAAACATGTACACTGTCTACATGAATAGTCTGTGGGAGACAGATTCCAGAAAGGTAACGTGAGTGGTGAGATGTCTGAAGATCCCTTTCTCCTGTCTGACCTCAGATTCAATGAGGCAGCTGTGGCCCTTGACTATTTCACTCTGTCAGGCTCTGGAAAATTCAGACAGTCCATCCTAGGGTCAGTCTAATTGTGCAGCCATGCTGCTTCCTCACATAAGTAGGCCAGGCCCAGGGCTGAACCAAAGTCCTGGTCTCTGTGGTCAACACTACAGCAGGATGCATATATGTTCAGAGATGCAATGTGACCACAGTCTAGGAGATGCTTATCACTTAATGTGCTATGTTTGGATATGGCTTCTCTCCTGAAAAGGCTCATGGTTGAATGGAGAGTTGGTTTCCAGCTGGCACATCCAGCCATCGAGAGGTTATTGGATCATTAAGGCTTTGGTGCAGTCACTGAATTATTCAGTGACTGATTCAGAATGATGAAGGATGTAGCTGAGGATGGGTCCAGCTGGCATCCAGGTGCATGTCCTTGGGGCAGCTATAAGAGGATCAGCTCTTTCCCACCACGCCCTTCTGCCATGATGCTTGCTGTCTTATCATAGGCCCAGAGCAAATGGAGCCACTGGCTACAGCCTACACCCTCTGAAACCACACAGTCGTCGGGTGATCTTTCCTACCTTGAACAGCTTGTCTCTGGTATTTGTCACAGTGAAGGATGGCTGCTTCCCTTTTCTTAGGCTCATATGTATTCCATGCTGGCTTACAACTCTACGTATTTGAGCGCCTTCCTGCTTTCCCTTCACAAGTGCTGAGATTACGGGTGTGCCCTGCCACCCCTGGTTTATCAGCATCACCCTAAGGGTCTAAGGCTTGAGAACCAGGGGACAACCCACACAGTGGGGCCTGAATAAATACTCCCTTCCGGATGAGTTTAAGTAACAACACAGGTGGAAGTGCCCAGGGCAGCCACGGTGACAGGTGACAGCGCAGTGTGATAAGCAATAGCTCCCTTGGCTGTCTTACTCTGCTACTGGGCAGCTAGACTTCCCAGCTGGGCTTTGTGAAAGGGCTTCTAATCTGGTTTAAAGGACCCAAGTCCATTTGTAATAGCTTACTGTAGAAATCCTGCCTTTAACCTAACCCTCTTTGCTAAGTGTTACAAAGAAAGTCACTACTTCCTAGGCCCCTGAGTAGAAAAGAAGGCAGGATGGAGTACTCCCATTTCAAGTCACCCAGAGAAGATAAGGGAGGACTCGGGACTCAAGACTCTCTCAACAACACCTAGGTTCTTGATGCATAAACTATGCTGGGCCACAGTGTGAAAGCTGTGCCAGCTGGCTGCCTGGCTCCATGAGCTGTCTCAGGGGACACCTGCTACAGACACGTTTCATAGAGGGTTAAGAAAGAGAGCACTTTCAAAGTTACCTTAATGAACAACACATCAATGAATAAAGGTGACTTTACTTGAGTAAACTGAATGAGGCACATAAAAGTAAAGTGGGCTCTAAAAGGAACAATTTTCTTGATGGTCGACATTAGAAAACAACTAAGTTTCTCTTGGCCATAAAACCTCTGCTAACTCAAGGCCCCATCCACCTGTACCATGACTTACACCTGGGGAGTGACTGTGCATATCAAGTAACATCCCGAAGCCATTCTGCAATGCCTAGCAACCATTTCTTTGGCTCAAAGAATGAATTAAATTGCCCTTATAGTGCTTCACTCATTATTTCCCCTGAGGGAAAGTTCCAAAACTGATTATGAACTATGACCACAATTTGCTAAAGTACTTTGCAATGTAAAACCAACAATATAGTATTCTTTCCCATTGTTTCCAGGATTTTTTTTTTTTTACTCCCAAATAAGAACATCATTAAGTGAACACTAAGTAGCCTGTTAACAAAAGTTCATGACACCTTCTGTCCCACCCATCTGCACCAACACAACACAAACTAGGAAGTACTGCAGATTGATTATATGTCACCAGCACCATGGCCGAAATGCCAGCCTTTTTGGGAATGGTCTGGGTGGGGCAGAGGACATGAAATCTGACACCAACTGTCTTTCGAGAGAGCCTCACACCCTCACATCATCTTCAGCTGTGTGGCATGTGAACTGTGCACAGGGCCTCCCTGGCTGTGCTGAGGGGCTCTCAACTGTGGCTTCCTGCAGTTCTTCAGGGCATCCATTCTAACCAGCACGAGGTCCACTGAGGCTCACTTGCTTCCTTAGAAAATTAGTGACAGGAGGATTCACAGCTAACTGCCTGGTCCTAGAGCCCTGGCTCCTCATCATCTCAGAAGGGCCATGCTGTGGATGGCAGACACCCCGTTGTCGGCTCCCTCAGGCCTACCTTCCACACTACCTACCAGTGGCTTCTTTCTTTTCTTTTCTTTTGTAGATTTTTAAATTTTTATTATGTATACAACATTCTGCCTCCAGGTATGCCTGCATGCCAGAAGAGGGCACCAGATTCCTTTATTGATGGGTGTGAGCTACCATGTGGTTGCTGGGAATTGAACTCAGGACCTCTGGAAGAGCAGCCAGTGCTTTTAACCTCTGAGCCATCTCTCCAGCCCATGTCTGTGGCTTCTAAGTCATGTGCCTGCAAAGGTTAACAGACCTTTGGGGCTCATCACTGCTCCAGGAGGAAGGCAACATCCTCTGGCAAACCCCTGTGTGCATTCTGGCTATCTCCTTTATGAAGAATGATGGGACATCAAAGAGTGAGGTCCAACACAAATTTACATCCTGTTTACACTTGACAAAAGTGTCCTTTCTCAATGAAGAGACTGAGAAGTATACATTACTATGTCTACCAAATTTGCAACATTTGCATCAATATAACTCATCATTTCCACGAGCAAAATTATTTTATATAAACCGAAGATAAATGACATGATCTTAAGACACTCCTGTCATTATCAGTTGTCAGAAGGAATGCAATCCAACTGTGTTGAAACTCATTTGTTGGTTTCTACATTGCAGTCTACTTCTAATGCAGCATTCCCAGGGAACACTCATGGCCCTGTCCCCTGCCCCTATACACAGGGTTTCTCTAGGACCTCCTCTAAGTCCTTGATACTCCAGCCCTAAGATGCCTCTAGGACCCTATGACAGCCCCTACCTGCCATGTCCACAGCATTTCCAAGCTGTCTGACATGGAACTCATCCCCTCTTGCTCCCTGCTCCCTACTCCCCAATGTCCAACTCCATGCTTGTCCCTCTCCTGAGTGCTCAAGTCTCCTGGAAGTAGCCATTATTGCTCCTGAGAGAGGTTCCAGAAGGCAGGAGTGGGCTGTAGTCAGCCGTGTCTACACAGTCCTTTCTTCTGCAGTGGCTCCTTGGGCTTCTGGCATGTTGGTTTTCACCTGTTTATGCTACTTTCTGGAAGGAAAACTTTCTGTTTCAGCCTTTGATTCAGGCAAGGAGAAGCAGGGAATCTGAAGAGTAAGAAGCACTCCTTATCACTGGCCTGGGACTAAGGCAGTGACAGTCAAGCCAGGATCCTTCTCACACGGTGCTAGCACAGTAGAGAAGGTACAGGAGGCAGGACACTGGGGTGGCTGGCGGGTCAGAGAGGACTCCAGGAGGCTACACTGGAGACATGATAGGAGTCAGGAAGGAGTGGCGAGGAAAGGCCCTTTGGGGGCAATAGCCACAACCACAAACGGCTTCCTGAAAGGCTGAGGGCTAAGCCAAGGCCAGAGCCCATCCTTACTAGACAAAAGGGCTTCTGTTCACCACTGCTCCTATGTCTCCAGAGGCTGGGAACCCAGCTCTTAAAGGCTTGCTGGTAAGGCCTTTCTTGCTCTTTGCCAAAGGCAGAAGGTGGTGAATACTGCAGGCCTGAAGAAGATCCAGGCAGATGAATCCTAAAATGCTCACTGTCAATGGCTGCCCAGCTAGGACACTGCCATTTGGGAAGTCCTCACCAATACTTTGTGCCTTGAAACCATTGAGATGACAAACAACAACACTTAACACAGGGGACAGGTCATCAGCAGGGGGTGGTCACTGTTCTGATGGTTGTTTCCGCCATCCTTCAGTCATCACTATGCTTTTCTGTCATTTCCATGTCGCCCAATGACTCAATTATTGAGTACAACATCATTTTGGCAAATACAGAAGAAGGATTTCGTTTAATCTCGATGCCTACTATATTGCTGGTGAAGATACTTAGCAAGGCCATCCAAGCTAACTTCTGTTTTTACTATGCTACTGTATACTGAAATCATGAAAACCCTAACAGGGAGTAAAACATTAAGTGGGTAAGTGTATATAAAATGTGTTTATATTTTTAAAGCCAGTATCAACTTAGGGCAAGGGCCTTTGCGCAGCCTCACACTCACTGACGGACAGAGGGCAGGCAGCAGAAAGGAAGCAGTTAGCATTACCATCTGTATCTCTTCTGGAGACAGCTCGTCGTCAACACTGCCATCGCCCCAGGTTCCCAGTTCAGGCTGTGCTTCGGTCAAAGGCTTTTCTGTTAAGAAACAAAACAGCAAGGTGGACAAAGACAGGAGGCCAGCTATTCCTTCAGAATTGGCAGCTGAAGAACGGGCATATGAAGACACCAGGCAGAGTGGGGTTCTGTAGCATGGTCCATATTGAACATTAGCTAACGTGCAGCAGGGGCTCCATGTCCCAGCCCACACAATATGGAGTCTTTCTCTAGGACAGCCACAAATCCTAGAACATGAACATTTTAATCTAGATGCCTTTTGTTCATGATGAGACAAGCACACAATGGCCCCTCACTAGCACAGGAGCCTGGAAAGAACTGTTGCCCAGTGCAATGGGTAGAGCCTGCACATTGTAGTATGGTGGCTGATGGGAGGTAAGGATCGCTCAGTGGAGACTGGGATGAATCTGATCCCCAAAGGTGAATCTAGTTCTGTGTGTCTCAGTGTCCCTGGGCTCCATCACTGTTTTTCCAGGGTCTCAAAGGCATCTTTCTCCTCAGCCCCAGCCAGGAGAATTTCTGTTGAGCCTGTGGGGTGGTGAGTCCAGGGTGTTTTGTTGGGAAAAGCACACCACAACAGCAGTAGAGAGAAGGCAGATAGGGCCGCCCTGTGTGAGAGACACAGCTACATTAGAAAAGCATCTTCCCAGACAGTCACCTACACCCTCTCAGTGCAGGTGAGACAGCAACAGACAAGGGAAAACACAAAGTGTCCTCAGGCAGAGTGGCACTGTTCCGAGGTGACACACTGGGGTGAGCCCACGTGCCTTCACCCATCACTCATGTCCCTGCGACTTCTGTCTCCTACTTGTTCCATCTCCTACCTGGCTTCAGAATGGTACCTATTTCAGATTTTTCTTCCCTCTTCCTTTGAATACAAAAAAGAATCAGAAAGATAAGCTCCATCATAATGGATCCAGGTATGAATCAGCTGCATCAGGCTGGAGAGGTTCTGTACTCTACAGGTGTTCAACTGTATGTTACCTGAAGCCCTCCTGACCTGGGCCTCAGGGTCAGCCTCAAGCGCAGTACTCACAGCATACTGTGCCAAGCAGTCAGATCCAGATGCCCTCTTGCATCCCAGACATTCTGTGGTCTGGCCCCAGCCAGCCTCTGCAACCATATTTCCTACAAATTCCTCACTAACCATGAGGGTTTTCTTTAGTGACTACATTCCACATAAGCTGCCATGACGTCTGGCCTCTTGAGTGTTTTCTTGCTCTGTTCCTATCATCTAGAAGTTTCTAAGCTTTATTTTTGGGAAGGGGTGCTGACTCACTTACTCAGGGTTACCTCTCCCTGAGGTCCACAGGACCCCCTGTTTGTCCCCACTTCTGTTTTTCCTAGGACACTACTTCCTCCCTCCTAGGAGCTGGAATCCTATCCTCCCTGGCAACAGTGAGCTGCACAGGGGCAGGAACAATGACTCACTTCAGAAATCTATCTGAACACCCCAAAACCAAGATGGGCAAACGACTTACCACAGAGAAATGAATAATGCTGCCTTGCCAGGCAGAATGTTTAAAGAAAAGGACTTAATGCCGGGGGTGGCAAGCTAAGCAGGCACAGAGGTGCCAACCTGCCGACTAAATCAGCAAGTGCCAAACGGCAGAGGGATATGGCAGACAGGAGGACAGCTCTTCCCTAGAACTGTTCCACCTTTTCTGTGCCAGACCATGCTTGTCTAAGTGGCATCTCAGTAACTACTGACAGACAAAGTTAGCAAAGGATACATCCACACGGGCCAGGCTCAAGTGTTACCCACAGAAAACCTAGCAGATACCCACACATAGGAAGAAACCGTCTCTATTGCCACGGAGGAAAGGGCAGACACACAGCATGGCTTGGAAGGACAGTGGCTGGCCGTAGGGGGAGATTCTCCCCATCAACAACTAGGCTGGGGTGGAGAGAAGGGCCTAGCCAGGCAGACAGACAGCAGGCCTCTCCCTGAGCAGCCTAGCCGGCTTCTCCCCTCCCTACTGTCTCTTCAGAGGCACACCCAGGCCATGGGTCCCCCAAGCTCCTGCTCCTAAGCACTCTCTGCTCACTCCAGCACCAACACCGTTCCCACCTGCACACCCAGCAGGCACCCCAGGCCCATGCAAGCGCACCAGCATGTGAAGTCCCCCCCCCCCCCCACCGTGCTGCCAGGCTGCACAGAGCTGGACTCATCTCAGGCAGCAATGCCCTTCCCATCTGCTCTTCACTCTCAAGGCTGTACATTACCAACTGCTCCCGCCCCACACACTCACAGTCACTCACTACCTAATAGGTGACCTGTGACTCTAAACTGTGACCTGAGCACTCCTCGCTCCGCTCTGTGTAAGGGGTGGTCCCTGGTGGCAGATGTCTTGTGTCTTGGTTGCTTCAAGAGATTCCTGCCCAGCCTACCAGCTTCCACAGCACCTCTCAGCCGTTCCCAGGCTTTTCAGATATAAGTCATATACAATGGCACACTCCAGCTCTGGACTGCCCAGTGTACTCCTACCGTGCTGAGGTTCAAACTCTACCTCAGTATGTGGGCTGTATGGGTATCACAACCCCCAGCCCACCCTGGCAAACCAGGTTGCCTGTTCCACGCTGCCCTCTCTGGAGGTATCATGTGCTCCCTGGTCACTGGTGATGCTTCGTCCTCTCACAGTGCTTATCTGTGATGGGCAGACAGATGTTCCTTTAAGAGACTGCTTTTTATGGGCTTTGCATTTGTGTGTGTGTGTGTGTGTGTGTGTGTGTGTGTGTCTTGTGTATGTTTTGTGTTTTTTGTTTTTTGCTTTCCGAGACGGGTTTCTTTGTGCAAAAGCTCTGACTGTTCTGGAACTTGTTTAGCAGATTAGACTGGGATTACCGTGTGTGCTTTTAAAATCTACTTCTTTGTTTGTTTGCTTGCTTGTTTGTTTTCTAAAGACACAGAGAGAAAGGGTGTGGTGCTGGGTGGGTGAGCAGAAGCTGGGAGGAGGAGTTGGGAGAAGGGGAACCATGCTCGAGTACATTGCATGAGCAGTTCTTTCTTTTTCAATTAAGAAAGAAGAAACCGCCATTCAGATCCTTTGCCCACTTTTCAACTTTCCATTGAGAGGTCTATCTGTGTCCAGCAGGTGGATGGAAGCCCCTCATCACATGTGTGGTACGATGTAAATGGGTTTCCATTCTGTGGGCTGCCTTTGAATTTCCTGGTGGTGTCCTTTGAGAAGTAAGCTTCAGTGACTGGCGCTGCTCCCTTGCTGCCATGTTTAAGCAGCAGCGCAATGCTAGCATGGCTGTGAGTGCTGGGGCCCAGGTGCTTCCACATCACATGTCCCTTGTCACCTACATGCTGCTCAGACTACTCACAGCTCGACCAGTCAGAAGACAGCCTGGTCATGCGGGCTGAGGTGGAGCCCTGGAGCAACACTGCCCTCCACGCTCACAGACCACAGTGGGAGGGTGTTGGCACACAGACCTTGCTTGTTTCCCTATGAGCCCAAAAAAGAGTCATTTCCACTCACTATGACGTCCCTAACACCCAGCCCAGGGCCTGGCACAACATGCAATGTAGACTTGAGGTCAGCATCTTCTGATGAGACTTTCTCTAGGTCCTCAGCTGGCACTGGCTTTCTTTGCTCTCACCAGATTTATTGAGTGAGTGAATGACTGAATGTGGACGCTGTGTCCAGCTTTAGTAAACTTAGTTATGATGCCCCTGTCATGTCATGTAGGAAGCTATGCCCATGGGACTGTGGGGAAGCCCAGGGCAGGCGCAGGGACATGCAGAACCCCTGCCTGCTGGACCACGGCAGCTACCAGGTAGGAACAGGCTGAGGCTGTGCTGCTGGGCTTCCTTTCTTATATAACCTCTCTGAATCCTGCTTCGCTTCCTCACCTACAAAACACAACAGTGCACACCTCCAAAGATCCAACAGTCTGCCTGGCCTGTGACCCAGTCAGTATGTGTGGCACAGTGAAGAGCTCCAAAAGTGCTGTTCTCCTTGCACACAGGACCTCTGGACTCCTCCAGGCTGGTGAACCATGGTGCAATGGAAACACTTAGGAAATGCAAGGAATCATGAGGTGGAGGCGAGCTTGAGAGCCCAACCACCATACCAGTGAATTCTGGGCCCACCATTCATGAGCTTTCACCTCAGACAAGGAGTGCAGGCTCTGAGCGTTTCAGTCTCCTCAATAAAAGAGACTCATGACACTGCAGTTGTTACAGTGAGGCACAGCATTGCAGAGCCACAGGCCCCACGGCTTCGGTGAGCTCACTAACTGTACTCAGGGATGCAGTGCTCTGAGCGGGGGCACGTGGACTGCACCAATCATGAAGCGGTCTGTGACATTCAGCTCGAAGGATACCGCATTTCTTTGGCATGCACTGTCAGGGACATTACTGTATCTGTGATGACAAGAAACACAAACCCATACTCGCACCTTGTCCCAAGGGCTTCCTGGCTGTGGAGGCCCCTGAGAAAGCACGCTCCACCCTGGGCCAGTGGGGCTGTCTGCTGCCAGTGCAGACTTCCCTGTGGAGGGTTCCATACACCTGGCTTTAGCAGACAGCGGGGATAGCGCCCACTCAGTCTCCAGCCGCTGCACAGGAAAGCAGCCCTTCCTCAGGTCCAAGTGAACACGTGACCCCTCAGACAGAGCACTGCCACTCCGAGTTTCTTTTGCTTGGGGCAGCTATGCTCACAGCAGGGCTCAGGAACTGCTGCCTTCCCCCGCTTTGTATCCCTGCCAATATGTCGGGAGGAAGAAGTGCAAAGCAAACCCTTTATACCGACTCATACCTGGCAACCCCTCGGCAGCAGGCTTTTCTTCAGCGTCCTGGGAAGCAGTCTGTGAGGCTTTCTCAGATGGCGGTTCTTTCCTCTTTGTGTTTGGCTCGGGTTCCAGCTTAGATCTAAATACAAATACCCAGCAGTTATTTATTTTGCCTTCACAACAGGATTCTTTTCTGACAACAGAAAGGGTCATGTGGGACTTGTGCATTTTTGCTCTGGTCTCTCTACTGGGGCCCAAGAGTCACACGGACACACCATACCTTACTGCAAGACACCATGTGAATGGTGCACTGCCTTCTGCATTTCAGCCAGAGCAGTGGGCCTAGCATCCGGTGACACCACATCAGGAAGTGAACATATCCAGTAATTTTACACTAGTGCCAAAGTATTGCCACACACACACACACACACACACACACACACGAAGCCATATGCGCGCTTTCTCGAAGTAGTTGAGCCAGAAGTCTCACACTTGGTTTTCTTCCCACCCGTTCACATACTTCTCTGCCCATGATGTGGTCTCCTTTTCTACCCATAGGGTGCATATTTACCTCTGCTACCTAGAGAGCTCCGCAGGCTTTCTTTGTAAATGGTATTTATTATTCATTATGTGCACACACGAGTATCTGCAGGCACATAGTACACACTTGGAGGTCAGAAGACAGCTTCAGTAAGTAAATCTTCTCTCTCCCCTTTGTTGAGGCCGGCCCCCTCTTCCTTCTCTGGGAGCCCCAGGTGACTCCGCCTCCCATCTCACTGCAGGCGTACTGAGACTACCGAAGTGTGCAGGGCTTCTGGTGTTTGTCTGGATGTTTGCTTTGGTTTTAACCATGGGTTCTTAGGATCAAACTGAGGCTATTAATTAGGCTTGTACAGAAATGCTTTTACCTGCTAAACCATCTTGTTGAACTGTGTGTGTGTGTGTGTGTTGCACGCAAGTGCATCCACCCATATGTGCATGTTTAGAGGTCAGAGGTCAATGTTGGGAGTTTTTCTCTAAAACTTTCTACCTTATTTTTATTATTTTTAATTTTGTTCTCATTTTGTAGCTCTGGCTAGCCTGGAACTCGCTATGTAGGCCTTAATATCATAAGAGATCTGCCCGCCTCTGCTTCCTGAGTGCTGGGGTTAAAGGTGTGCGCCACCACACCTGGCTCCTACTAATTATTTGAGAAGGGTCTCTCACTGTTTCAGCCAGACTTGCTGGCCAGTGAACCCCAGGAACTACCAGTCTCCACTTCAGGTGCTGAGGTTCCAGGTGAGCACTGCCATGCCTAGATTGCACATGAGTGCTGGGGACCTGAACTCAGCTCCTTACACTTGCACAAGCACTTCACCCAAAGCCATCTGTCCAGGCCCTGGCTTACATAGCAAGTGCTCTCCTATTTCTCTGCAGGCACCTGACCCTCCTTTGAGTGGGTCTGTGCTTCTGTGAGCCATGAGTGCTGCTTAGCTGCATCTGAGTACTCTACCTGCACGTAGTGCCTGCTGCGACCTGCAAAGGCTGAGGTCCAGTGGTCAGCTTTACTGAGTGAAGCTTTAGGATGCAGGGCTAATGTAAGACGGGTCACTGGGGATATGCCCTTGAAGATGCCACTGGGACCCTGGATCTTTCTTTTTCTTTGTTCTCCAACTGTGTTGCCATGAGGCAAACAGGTTTCATTTTTCATGTGCTCCTGTCACGTATGTGCCACCAGGGTCAAGTAATCGTGAGCCAAGACCTCTAAAACTGTGACCTCAGCAGACTGTCTTCTTCTGACTCCTCGCTTTATTTTCATTTTTGGAGTCACAGTTTTACTATGTAGTCCTGGCTGGCCTGGAACTTGCTATGGGACCTGCCTGCTTCTGTCACCTGAGTGTTCAGATTAAAGGTGTGTGTCACCACGACTGACCTCTTTTTAAGGTGACTGTCACAGATGTTTTGTCAGAGTGATGGGTATCTAACTAACACAGTGTTCAATAAAACCTTGTTGAATGAATGAATGTTTTACAAACACAAGCAAATGGCTAACCAAGGAGAAAAACCTGTCTTAAAATAATGTGCTTTAGAGCCAAGCAGACTTGGCTGCATGCAAGACTGTAATCCCAGCACCCAGGAAACAGGCAGAATGATTGCTGCCACAAGTTTTATGACATCCTAGGTTACAATGTGCAAAGAAAAGAATCAATCAATCACCAAAATAAAACAATAGACATCATCACAGTTTTACCAAAACCTATATGAAAATTACAGGCAGGATGCTAAAATGATCCATGATACAGTCCCAGCTGTTAGCCAGCCAGACTGTGAGTAAAAGAATAAAGTCAACTTGTGCTGGCTGAATCTGGTTTACACATGCCACTTAGTATTTGCCAAGAACCTATGATGTACCAAGTACTTCTGTAAGCACCTTATGAGGATAAATGTAGACAAATTTACCCAACTCTGGAACATCTAAGAAGTTACTAGTATTAAATGACCATTATTATTATTATTATTATTATTATTATTATTATTAAGAAGGAAACTGAAGTAACATAGTAGCTAGGCTGAGACAAGACCTCAGGTTCCCAGCTCATGACTGGGTATTTGTATAAAATAGATGATCATTAATGGCATTCAGATCCTGACTATGGACAACTGTCCACAGCAGAGACCTCACAAAAGGCTTATGTCAGGACACAGAAGGAACTCCTACAAAAATTAACAAAAGGCAAATGATTCAATAACAAAGTATGTGAAAGACCTGAATAGATATTCTGGAGGAAATACAGAAATCATCTATAAACATACATGAATAGCTGATTAGCACAAACCCAAGCCACAGTGAGATGATCCTGCACACCGGCACAGGGTAAGAGTTAAAATACTTTTGATCTACACTATATCTTTGGGAGAATGAGGACAAATCAGAGCCTCACACAGCTAGATGGTGTGTAAAACACTGTTACCACCATGGAAAAACCTGGAACAGTTTCTTATTAAATTTAAGAATGTCTCCACGGTAACAGAGCAAACCCCCTTTGAGGCATTTACCAAAGAGAAAGGGAAAGGTATGTCCACATGAAACAAACTGGCAAGCAGTCACAGCAGACTCACTCATATAGGAAAAGCATGGAAACAACCCCATGCCAACCAACACAAGAGTGGATAAGGCAATGGTGTGTGCTTGCACAGGGTGATACTACTCAGCAACGGAGAGCAAATCACAAACCCTGCGGCATGGTTAATCTTTTTAAAATGTGTTAAGAAGAGGGCTGGGCCACAGTACTCACCGAGCATGCCTAAGGCCCTGGACTTGATCCCAGTACTGCAAAAACAAACTCAAACCTTTTAGAAACAACCAGGGCTCTTCGGGTCAAATTAGTGTTGGAATTTAGTAATTGAGTATCTTGACACATTAGACAATTTTCAAACTAGCCTAAAAAAAGATATCCATCAATGAGAATTTATCAATGAGAATTTTCAATATTTTCTTCTGGTTAGTAAATGACAAGTATTGTGACATTTCTTGATCTGATTTCTCGTCTATAAAATGGGGCTACCAGAGTGTCCTCAGTGGTCAATGGTTCTCCTGAGATGCTTAAGTAACAGAGTCAACAGTACATGACCAAAGTGGCAGGTCATCTGTCCCCCAGCAGCGTTACATGAGTGACGAGCATGGTCTCACAGAAGAGGTCCTGAGACAGTGCACCCAACTGTCCTTGATGCTTTTCTCCTTGAGGAGACAGAATCCTCACAGAAGCACCTGTGGGAAGGACCGACTCTGGCCCAGGGTTCAGCGGATACAGCCGATCACGGTAGGGAGCCTGGTAGTACAGGCAGCTCAAGGCTGTGGCAGTGGGGACGTGGTGAGGCTGTGGACTACACCACTGTGGCTACCATGAGCAAAAAGACTGCTGGGAGCCGAGGCTAGACCTCATCTCCCAAAGGTTCCACAGCCTCCCAAAACAGGGTCACTAGCTGGGTACTAAGTTCAAACACATGAGCCTGCAGGGAATGTTTCAGATTCAAACCAATGGAGTCCGAGAGGAACTCTGCAGTCCAGAATAGCATAAAAATGCAGAGAAGGGCACACTGCATAGATGCCAACTGCGCTCCAAAGCTGCTCATCTCTCGGCTGGGCTACAGAAGGGATAAGTGTGAAGTATCCTGATAATCAGCCTGGTGTGGGATCCTGCAGAACCTTCCTTTAGGTTCCTGACTCCATGGACCACCTGAGGTGGCAGTTCACCACACAATACCACAAATCCAAGTTTATAAGTCTGGGTCCTAAGGTCATGAGCTGAGCAACTTCCATGAAAGAGGCACTCAGGAATGAGATATATTCAACAATGGATTTGATTCTAGACTGCCCCTTACTTACTATGTGTGATTGTGGATTATGCTTTGATTCTCAACATCTACAAAATGGGGGAAACCCTGCCTCTACCCAAGGTATTTTAAAGATGAAATGAGATCACCTAGGAGTTAAGTACCTAGTACTCGGCTCCCACCTGTTTCCTTATTTACAAAGCTACTTCCACTAGTTTTCACCCCAACCCCGAACCCAGGGCTCATTCTGGCTTTCTTTTCTTTCCTTTGCTTTTGTGATAGCAAGCAACCTGGCCCCGAACAGCCATCTGATCAAACCGACCACACAAGTTCTGTTGCAAAGACTAAACAACAGCATCCGTTACCAGTTGTATGAAATGCCAATGCTGTACGAGTTCTTTCGAGAACTTATGAATGGGGAATGCTGGGAACTTCACAGGGTGGGAATCACTCAAAATCCCAACAGAGAGTATGACTTTGCCAGACACAAGGACAGATAGGACATTCCAGGCATAGGGGACCAGAAGCTGGTCATTTACCTTCACATGATCATCATAGCTGGCCATTTCTAATGCATAACCACTCTCTCACCACGTGAGAGGTTCCGGCTGTCCCACACCCATTCCTCATTGTCATTTTTAGTCTAGGTGGTCTGACAAATGTAAGCTGGTATTCTGTGTTTCAAACTTTAATGTATATCAACTACACAGAGAGAAGTTTGAAGTATGAAGATTCCCTCAGTGAGTAAGGTCCAGCCCATTGCCCTTACCTTTGAATGTCTAACATATTCCCTAAAGACAGAAAGCTCTGATGTAACCACCACAA